AAGGAGAGCCCAGACTGGACTGCCGTCCGGGGTGTCTGCAAATCTTGTACGCTTCGTCAAAATTTTGACTAAAGGCGCAACATTTTTGTGTCTGGCAAACCACCCCTTGATTTCTTTCAATTTGGGCGCCTCTTCAGCGTCCGCCAACTCAAAATTTGAATCGGACCCGGGCGACACCATTTCAAGTAACCCTTGGACGTGCTTTCGCTTCATTTTGACTTCTAGTGTCTCTCCAGAATGGGCATCATTGCCATTTAGTATTGTAGAGGAAGCATCTGAAACTACAACAACAGCTTCCGAATCTCTGGAACACCATCTAATCTGTCCCGCAGTTCGCAGTCCAGCTTTGTTGACTTCGGCGATAGTGGCGGTGCTTTGTACATCAGAAAAGCTATCCAAATCATCCAAAACTACCACACCAACCTCATCGTCCTTCCCGACAGGCCCAAGCCACGAGTCTCGGTGTGCCAGCGGCGTTGATGGGATGCTAGAAGACGGCGATGTTGTTTGCAATGTCAAATATTTCATTAGAAGCACTTGAACCTCGATAAGATGGTCGTAGTGAACCCAGAATGTTGCCTTTCCGCCGTTACCACCACTCGAAGCTGACATAGCCAAGATAGTATCAATATAAGCTTGGCTTTCAGATGTTATTGTGTGAGAGTTGCCGTTGTCACAAGATTGGCTGTCTTTAAATGTGGTCTCTTTGGGGGAACGATTGTACTGCCCAGTCAGGGCCGCGAGTTTGAAAGAATCGAACCCACTCCGTACAACAATCAATAGATCCGAGAGATCCAACACGTTTTTTTCAAAATCAATCTTGTGAAAGGAAGTGGGCGATTCCAGAATTGGTAGGAAACGAGTCGTGAGATGTGATGAACCAGTCCATTTCTTATATTTCTTTAAAAGCTTGATGAAGCCGGTGTGCTGTACATTCACGAAGCGGGATAAACTTTGGATTTCGTAGCTCACACTAGATACCTGTCAGTTCATTGTAACACAACCTGTCGTACCGCCACTAGGATGGGATGAATTTGGGGCGAATTTACCGTTCAACCTCTTGCTCAACCTTTGCGTAACGACTCGCTTTTCGAGGCGTTAATCCGTCTGTTGGGTCCCGTCTGCGAAGTGGAGCAACTTGTTTATTGCAGCGAACTGGCGCACGTCAGCGAGGAGCTCGCTATCTAACAAATCTCGCACATACCTATACGGCGATCGATTTCACCAGCTTTACTTTTGACAAATAGATCGATCTATGATAAAGATCAGTTCCTGTCGTTGGTGGAAAATGCAGTGAAGAACTCCATACCCTTCCCAACTGGTCCATGAAAACCTCAAAGAACTCATCTTCAAACCCCGTTTTCAGCTCTGGTACCTGTACAAGGGATTTCCCGGTGGTGTATCGTTTTATTAGTTGTTTGATTTCGCTATAATCAAGATTATCTAAAGATTTTTGGATCAGTAATTAATTTTCAGATAAAGGGACAAAAGGAGCAAGGGGTGAGTAAATACTCACAAGGGAGCCATTCCGGTACGGAACGCTGAGGAAGCGCCTCTCCAAATTTCATCGGATGTGTAGTGAATGTAGTAGGATGTAGAGAGGCTGCAAGCTTTGTTGAAGAATTGAGGGCTGTGGGAGGCAGATAAGGCCGGATAAGCTTCAATCAGCGGCGACCAGAGGAAAGGAGTGTAATGGGCGGTGGGAGGTGGGAGTTAATGAGTATCTGTTCGCGAGCCCGGCTATCACCTTATCACAATTAAGAAAATAAGGGCGCCAGAGGCGAGATGATAAATATTTGAAGAGCACGGGAGCAATTGCAGAATCTGGGAGCGTAAGATGCAACGAGACGCAGTCGTGCAGCAAGGTAGACAGGGATGATCTAGAATCTTCGGGTGTAACGGACACACTCCGGCAGCTGCACAGCTGCCTCGAACTGATGTATGGATGGAATCTCTCAAAGAGACGTTTCTTTGGTGGAATTTCTAGAGAGATTTATAGTTAATTACATATATTTATATACGAGTTCTTCTGAAAGCTTTAGCAGAAAGGAAAGTGTCAGCTGGTGTTGAAAGTTGTGTAAGAAGAACGCAAAGAAAAGGAAAGGGAAATGAATAGGTAATACCTTTGGTAGTGATGGTGATTGTTGCGAAAATTTTGATTGTGGGGGTTGAATCGTGAAGAGCAAAAGAAAAGTGGTAATTGTCGATGGCGAGCTTCGATCATAACGCCAATCCAAAAACACCTATACGAATCGAGCTTTGCCATCACCTTTACTGTTCCGGGTACGTAAACGCGTCTTTGTCTTTAATTTCAGCTTTCCCAGGAACATAGCTTCTACAGGCGTCTGTACTCTAGCCAACCAACCCTTGGTGATGACGGATCTTGGTTTGTTACAATATGTATTTTTAGTTCACCCATTCCAATATACATGTACTCTATATAAAATGGACTCCTAGATGAGCCTATTAGGGTTGAGATGTTCCCCTTGACTCAAATCCCTTCAACGTCATGATAAATCGATCTGTTCGAGCTTGAAGGAAGCCAGTAGTGACTTTGGAGGAATAACGTTCTTTGTTCGCTTGAGCCGCTAGACGAAGCTCATCGCCAACACCCTAGCATCATCCATCATGCGATCACTAAAGCCATCCAGAAAGGGGCTTTGCTCTAGTCAAAACCCATGTATCTCGGCAACTAAAAAAACCTGAGCTCTGCCAAGAAACGACTTATCGTCATCCCGCACTTATACATGAGTTAGTAGGAAACCTCCATGGCGAACCACCACCGCACAAAAATTGGTTTTGTTCTATCGCCGAGATCCCCGCTCAAAGATAACAACTGAATGTTTCACCTCATCTCTTTGGAAGATGGTTGCATATTTAAACCTCGAATATCATCCAGCAATTCATGCAGTACGTATCAGTCGGCAATCCTTCGGATAAGTGTTTCCAGCAAAAATCATGTAGGGTCGGTCAAGATCGACGGTTTATGATAACAAATATCCATACATATTTATATCCCGACATGTGCCGATTAAGTTGGTATCAAAATCAAACGGTAATTCTCAAAACCATTTGATGCCATCGAGGCTGCATGGTCCAGAGTATGAGGTAGTCAGGCCAGTGCAATTGGTAGAGTACCCTTACTCCCCGGATTTTCAAATAGAAACTGCTTTTTCCTTAGAGAGGTTTGCACACGTGTTTGAACGGTGAACAGTAATTGGTTCATGAATATTTCGTCATGTTCCAGATATGCGAGTGCCTGCAGCTGAGAATGAAATGCTTGTAGGGGGACCTATTAGCATTTACATACCATAAAGGTAACCGTTATCGTAGGAGTTCATATATATGCTTTTGGGGGGATCCGAATATTGGATTAAGTTACTCCACGGATAAATGCAGCTGTTATGTTGTACTCATATTTTGACAGGCTCCAGGGGGGATTCCGTCGGTCTGGCTGAAGAGGGCTAATATGAGATACTCTGCATGTAGCTTTCCAGGCTACATACAAATGTCCATGCCGCTCTTCACACCGTAACCCGCTAAATCGTTACTCTACTTCAAATTCTACCACCCCCATTACACGTTTACAATTGAACATGATTTTTTTGTCCCCCAATAGAGGGGGAGGGACCTACGAAAGTTATTATAACGATAAGTAAGCATACTAAGCATGTAGCAATATACCCGCTAAATGTATCAATGCGGAGAGACCGTTTGGGATGTACCGTACATACATGTGAGGATTGTCGGGAACTCGGATGAAAGACGCCGGAATCGGCAGGCCCGATAAAGCTGCACTGGTAACACAAGCATTTCCGGAATTTTATACTTTACTTAAGGTGTACGCGTGCACGTGAATCAACATCAATACTGAGACTTCCAGCCTGCAGTCAGTCAATTACATACCCCAAATTACATCCCAAAGGAATGAGGCATAGTTACATCATATATAGGCAGGATTGAGGTATAGTTACATGTAGGCAGGGTATAAGATGAGAGAGACCTTTGATAGATCGTAATGGTGGGAGATTTCCACTGCTCGCAAGACACATCTATCTTTCTTGACTCATAGTGCTGCATTTTAGAGTATCCAGATGATGCACACGCTATCACTCGCTGGATGTACCACACACATACTACTTACATAAGCTGCTTCGCGGCAATTGTAATCAGGTGATCCAACGATATATATATATTGGTAAAATAATAACTGGCCTCTTTCATGTGATACGTAGAAGGCCTACATATGAAGAAGACCCAAGGGGTTCATGCGTATCTGAAATACCACATGGTTTAGGCCCATTGGGAATACTAGCGGGAAAGACAATCTGTCCCTTTTGGTACGTAGGTAGGACACCAATCTTTCTTGTCCACACACGTACCAAAAGGGACAGACTTTTTATTCTCGCTAGTAGTGTGTAACAGTGACCCTGTCTCTCGGGTTTATTGGAGAAAAGGTAACCTAAGAGCAAAGACTTTTTTTTTATACAGGCACATGATGCCTTTGCTACTTGATCTCAACCTTCTTTTCCATGATTGATCTGAAACTGCATTTTGAGACTTACACAGGCACTAATACGGTCTTTAGTACTTAAAAGATTTTATCCCTAGATTCAAATTCTTAGCATTCAGCGTGAGTACTACATGTAGGTAGCCTAGGCCAGCGCCTCATGTAAGAATACCGATACACCTGTGCCTGTATACTGTAGATACATGTACTCTGCGTGTAAAGCGCTCAAGCGGTAGAGTGATGATAGATATATGTAACACTACTATACGGTCTGTCTAATCCTTTTGGTCAGTTGCTGTAGGTTACTCTATGGCAGGGTAATGTGTTACCTGACTCAGCGTGACTGACATCCACCCTTGCTAGGGTCTAAACCCTGCTCTTAGCCCACAATCCGATAACGCAGACCACACAGAACATTCTATACACCCAGCGACAACTCAAGGACATCACGACAATCTCCCAGCCAGAAACAACCACCAAATAACTCAAGATGGGAAAGTGAGTTAAATAAAGATCCAAGCATTCGTTAAAATGTTGTAGGGGATTACTGACGATTTTTTCGCGTTTTTCTAGAGGTAAACCAAGAGGTCTCAACGCCGCGCGCAAGCTCCGCACCCACCGCCGTGACAAGTACGAATCTCCTTCACTACAGCTCGGAATCGGCAATTTCAAGGATATTTACTAACACACTTGCAGTCGCTGGGCCGATCAGTCTTTCAAGAAGAGACTTTTAGGAACTGCCTTCAAGTCTTCTCCCTTCGGTGGATCCTCTCACGCCAAGGGAATCGTCCTCGAGAAGGTCGGTGTCGAGGCCAAGCAGCCTAACTCTGCCATCCGAAAGTGTGTCAGGGTACAGCTTATCAAGAACGGAAAGAAGGTCACCGCTTTCGGTATGAAATCCTCTGCTCCGAACATGGGTGGCGAATATGTGGTTGGGGAGGTGGGGGTTTGGGCGGCCTGGGTAAAGGATGAGGAACAACAATGGAAATGGGGTGCGGTAACTGGTTAGGAATTGGTGGCTAACGGGAATTTGGTGTAATAGTCCCCAACGATGGTTGCTTAAACTTTGTTGATGAGAACGACGAGGTCCTGCTCGCCGGTTTCGGACGTAAGGGAAAGGCCAAGGGTGATATTCCCGGTGTTCGTTTCAAGGTCGTCAAGGTTTCCGGTGTCGGTCTTTCCGCGTAGGTATCCCCGATTCCAACTTTGGTGCGGATTTAAAGCTAATTAATATTACAGTCTATGGAAGGAGAAGAAGGAGAAGCCCCGTTCTTAAACAATTTTTCGTTTTGGATTTGGTTTCTTTCTCCCTCTCTTTTTTTTTTTTTTGCTTCATGATAAATAAATGAAATGTCTGGCAAAAGTTCCCATCAAAAGTAATAGAGTTTTTCAGTGCAACTTTTCAGTGACACCTGTATCTCTAATCACCATATATGTTATGGTTGCCTCTTTGGAGATGCCGATCAAAGGTGTCTGAGGAAGAATAATATTTTAATTTATCACGAATAGATATGATTCGCCAAGAATTGCTTGTCCGACGACTACAAATACTTTTTCCTAGTTCTTCGTTTGATGGGTACAGAAAGAGGGAGCTTTCTTGCTTGTTAGATTGCCTATAGCGAAAGGGTGGTCTTCGTCTATAGATTTCAGAAGTCGCACATGCCCGCCTAACGAAGGGGCGTCTTATCGAGTCTTCTTATTATGGAGGTGGCTGGATTGCTGGCCATGATATTGGCGTTGCGGTTTTGTTTTCTTTAGTTGATAGAAGCTGGGTCAACCGAGTCGATAAATACATGTGTAAAAGACCGACTCGCGATAATCGATTGACCGAGTGATACCTGATGATTGATATCTCAAGAGCCACCAAGAACGCAACATACCTCAATTACACGCATTCTTTCGGCTTGATTATAAACGTTGTGGGGTTTCATTCTGTAGCTGTGTTTGAAATTTCAGTTTATAATTACAGTAAGGATAACCATTTGCATCCGTTAAATGGAATTATCTATTAATACCCAAGACGCAGCCATCGACATACCACAACCAGAAAGATATATCGGAATTATCAAAGCATAGTGTTATGAATACTTGAGAAAGTTAGCGTCTACCTACTCTTCGATTTTCTTCAAACTGGGCGAAAATAGTGCCAGATATATACCGAACCACGAACTTTGGGCTGCAGTACATATCCGAGGATTGTTTTGTCCAGATAAAAACCATGGGACCCCATTATTCGGGAATCGTAGGCTTTGGTGGCTTTAAGGGGTGGTTGCTTAGGGGGGTTGTTTGCCGGGGGAGATAAAGTGACTTAATATTAAATAGTGTACATGGCCGCGGTAGATCTAGATATTTCGATACTTCAATTAAATATATTACCAATTTCCTAGATGCATATACATATATTTATGCATTAATTCTACATCGACAACGCACATGTATTTTATTACAAGGTCCAGACAAATTATGGTGATAATGGTCCTGGTGCTATTCGAATATTCGCAACTAGGTACTACATATAACTAATACCTACATGCAGTGTGATAACGAATTCGACAAACGAGTCATTTACATAAGAGCCTTCAAATACTTTAGTCATACCGGTAGATAATGCAATTTAGTAGGTGCCATGAGTATAACGCCGTAACAATAATAGCTAGTACTAACATAACTGTGGTGATTGTGGTATTAGTTAATTCCTAGTTATTGAAAACAAGTAACCAGTTGGAGTCCCAATCGGGCCTTTTCCACACCAGATATACGTGTACTTACGGAATCCCAACTCTTTTATAGGTGGAAACAACGGAAATGATATGATATGCTTGTATTCAAGTCTTGTGCTACACCTTAAGTACCAATTGATGAGCGTTTAAGATTGGAATCACTCCACAGGAGTTATTGAAATATTCGTTATATGCCTGAGTGGATATATCTATTGAGAACGGTACTGGTCGAAATATAAACTCAATCATCTTGTAGCTTTTTCAACTTTGCGGAACCTTAATCATAAGCCATGTGCGGCTAGTGTGGCAACAATCCTGGGCCCGCACAAACTTTGCAACTAACTACATGTACATACCTACCTACTCTACACCTCACAGCACATAACTACATAACCCAACGCCATAAACAAACAATGGAGGACGACGATCCTCTCTGTGGCTTTGATTTCTCTGACGAAGAAGAGAGCACCATCCAAAAGGACCGTCAAGCAAAGCTCAACCAAACGGAGGAGGGGTTTCAGGCAGAGAAACGGTTATGGCGCCCAGTGTGTCAAATCAAGCAGGTATACCCCCCAAGGCTATTTTTCTATTACCAATGATAGAAGCTCACTGAATTGCGTAAAAAACTAGGCAGAGAGGAGACTAAAATTCTCCACATCATTCACAGACATGCCATCCTCTAAAGAGGAGGCGCTTGAGATCAAAGCTGCGGCTGAGGAGCGTTATTACTTTCGAGACTTTGAGCGCTCATATGCGTTAGCTGGAAGAGCGTTGCTTGTTGGTGATTTGATGCAGAGCGCCGACAAGAAGGATCTTGTGGTACTGCAGCAGCGGTGTAAAGAGCGTCTGAAGAAATGATACAAGTTTAAGTATATAAATGCAAAAATACTTTCATCTATGGTATAAAATAAAACAGAGCAATCTACTATGTACTTCATAACAAACCCTCCCATGTACCTCATCATATTTACATGAAGTATTGCAAAAGTATACAAAGTACGATCTTTACATTTGTGATAGCTCCGTATCTCTGCTCGCCTCACCTCCATTCCTCATCAGGAGCCTATCGATCTCATCTTCCGTCATCTTCCTATCTATTACATCTTCCGGACCCTCCTCCTTTATTTCTAGAGCATCATTATCCATGAACGTTTGTTCCCCTAGATTCTCAGGCTCCCCGTCTGACATCATGCCTTTTGCAAGCTCGTCTGAATCAACAATGCTTTTTAATAGATTTAAAGTGTAGCTGTTCGGCCTCACATTGTGTTCATCCATCCTTCGCAAAACATCCCCTGCCCTTCGTATACTCTGAACCCTCACGTATCCTGACAGCAATGAAGTCCAAGTGACAACATTTGGCTGGATACCTTTCCGCCGCATCGCACCTAAAACTTGTTCCGCATGCTCGACCTTCCCATTCTTCGCCATTGCATGCATTAAAATTGACCAAGAATGAACGTTTGGGTGAATAACGGAGTTGGGCTTCAGCATATCCTCCATGATCATCACAGCATACTGAAGAGTGCCCACATGTTGTCCAAGCGCAAACATGTAGGAATTCGGTATATAGCAACCGGCTTTACGAATGAGTTCGCAATATTCACTTTCTTCGTTTTTGACAATACTGTGGTAGCGTTTGTAGGCTGTCCATACTGCCGACGAATCTTGCTCATGAACAGTGAATGCATGGACCATTACGGCAATTGTCTTATGGTTTGGCTCAAGTCTGTCCTGGATGGCTTGTCGCCGTGGATTACCGAGTTCCGCAGGGGCAATCCCCAGGGGAATGAGAGGTCCCGGGTTGAAAAGGTTTAGGTATTCCTCCAGGACCGGAAAGTAATGTTCGGTAGCCTTGAGTTTAGCGTGTAGGATGTCTGTGGCAATGACACGGTTGAGTTTTCTATCCAACTGCATAGCATCCCGAACGACGTTTATCCGTTCTTGCTCCTGGTTTCTGTTTTTGTAGAAATTGTGAAGAAGCCCAAATGTAACCATCGATGGTCTTAAGCCGCTATCAATCATCTGCCGAAATATTCCGGTCAAGCTGTTATCGTCATTATCGCGAACAGCTTTGCTCATGAGTATGTTGTAGGAGGTTATTCCAGGCCCAATTCCGCACTGGAGCATCATCCGGATAACCTTGCTGCTCTCTTCCTCGCCAATGAAGGTCGCTTTATAGAACATCGTCTGAAATCCCTTCCACACCTGCGGGAGGTTCAGATCCCTTTTGGGATCCCCCGTAAGCTTTTCGAGGATTGAATAGGCTCTAGGCCACCTCTCAGGCTCCGATAACCGATGAATGAAGTGTAAAATAGTATCGGTGGTAAGAATCACCCTGGACTTTTCGACGACATCATAAAGTCGTTCAACTCCCTCCAAGGATGCACCCTGAATAAGCCTATATATCGTCGACTGCCGTACACTGAGGGCCCCCCCGTAGTCTATCTGTAGTATTTGCATGAGAAGCTCGATGTACCTCGAAGCCCTTTTCTCAATCCTTTCCCTCGGTGGTGGTAACCACCGTCTGTTTCCTTTCCGAACCCGAAATTCCAACGCAACCAGATACTCTATCGCCAATGAAATATCTTCCGGATTTGGTACATGTGTATCATGGATACAACACTCTATTAGTCTCATGCAGATCTTTGGGCATTTTTTTTCGAGGAGATATCCAGCAACGCTTATTAAAACACCATGACGACGTTCTTTCGGATCTAACTTTGCCCAACCTTTTGCCATTGCTTTAGAACTGTGCCCTTCAGATAAAATCAAGGGAATAAGCTTGCGAAGCCTATCCTCAGAGTATTCCCGAGCCAAGCATGATACCCCACGCATTGTGAATCCATCGTCCGCATCCTCCCTCAAGACCTCATCTGCCACCGATTCCATTGGACTCGTGTGTGCTTGATGCCATATGGCTACCGCATCCGAGCTGCGTTTTTTTGCTGACTCCTTTCTTGGCCGCTTCTGAGAAGGCGCAACAGTTACTCGGCGCGGTATTGGCTTCTTCAGGGCGACTGGCTTCTTCAGAGCGACTGGTATTCGGGGGGGCGAGGGTGAGGTTGATTTAAGTCCTTGTAATGGTCGCGGTTCTACTTTTGATGTTGTGGCTTTTACCTAACCCATTAGTCTCTCTTTTCCCAAGTTTCTTGGATTTAATCGAATCGCCCCCACTCTTTCAATTAACATTGGGAGATATATTCACCTCGACCCAAAACTCTCTGGATATGAATCCCCGCCCCCGCCCCCACCACTGTTATCGAATTCCAAGACAAGCTCGGCGCAAGGAACGGCAAGGTTGGAGATGACCGTCGGGTCGACAATGAGAGAAGGCCCAACGACATTGACGCATTGTTCGATAGGAGAAGAGGCGTCTTCATGCAGTTATTTCATCCGTTTCGCCGTGAGGGTTTTTCTTTTCTGCTTCTCAATATGGGAAACTTTCAATGTTACCCGGTTTTCGAGTGACTTGGCGTGTGTGAGCCTCACCTCGCGCTCTCGAGGATCCTAGAGCTTCTAAACCTCAAAGCTTTCACTTCAATACCACAATTCCCGCCAAAAATACGAACATAAGCTAGAACCGATTGAGATGTCGTCAATAGCTTCACTCGATGCTGCAGCTGCAGCGCGCAAAGAACGTCTTGCAAAACTCAATTCGTTAAAACGCAAACAACCGACCTCTACCGATACAGACACAGAAATTCCTGATGCTCCCGCATCAGAAGCGCTCTCAAAATCATCTTCGCCCTCGGGGGAAAAAGATACCTCTCACCTTCTCTCTGGGCGCAATTATGACATAGAATCACGTGCGCCAAAGATGGGATTTGCACAAGCCCCAACGAACGGTGTCGACACTCTAGAGGACCTTGCCGAAGCAATTGTTACCAAAACTAAGGAACAACAGCTGGCAGACGAAAAAAACGATAAAGCGATCGATCTTTTCAGCCTACAACCTAAAAAACCGAATTGGGATTTAAAGCGAGACGTTGACAAGAAGCTGGAAAAGCTGGATATGAAAACGGATGTGGCAATCGCAAAGATTATCCGGGCGAGGATTGAAGAGGCCAAGAAGAAGAAGGTCGAAAACAAAGAATACGGAGATGAGATGGATGGAGTGGAGGGAAACTTAGGGGTGATGGTTATGGAGAGGGAGAGGGAGGCCCAAAAGGAAAGGGAAGCGGCGGGAGAGGGGGACAGTGATAGTGAGGAACTATGACCGGGAACCTAGTAATTGGAGGGGAAATTGAAAATTAATAACATGTTTTTCATATTTTATACCTCTTCTTTTCTCTCTCTTTCTTTTGTGCATGTAAAATTACAGTGGCGATTCCAGATGGGCAAGGAGCATAACCGGTATAATGTACAATAATGTGTGTTGCGCTAAAACGCGTAATTGAAGCCAGCTGAAAGAATAACAGCAGTGGCCAGTTCATAAAAATATAAAAACGGTGCCCAAGATGAATAAGAGATATTTCAAATAATAATAAAAATGAGGTGTGAAGGGAAGTTTTTCTTGCTAAAGCTATTGTTTAGGGCTTATCTATCCTGGCCCTCTCCGCATCTGTTCTGTCAGAAGTTTTCTCCTCGTGAATGGACTCAAGCTTCTCTCTCTAGGCGGACTTGGTCTCTTCACTATGGGTCCGCCATTTCCTCTTCTTGCCGGCGAAACAGACATTTTTTCGGCTGGTGAGAATGACCTTCGTCTTGCTCGTCTCGGAGAGGGGCTCCTTGTCTTTTTCTTGGAGAAATCAGTTGGACTCATTTTACGGCCTCTCCGACCGGGAGATGGCGAATCGCGGTATTTCCGGCGAACAGATCGTTCATGATGATCTCGGGCGTGGGAATTACTACGACGGCGGGTTTTGGGGGAATTATGGGCTACTGCGCGGTCTTGTGAGTAGTTTGGTGGTGTAGGGGAGCGGCCCGAAGAGATGCTGGAATACGAGGATGTAGACCCTGTTGAAATCGAACGGGTACGTGATGCGGCGCCAGGCGATGGACTATGTTGAAGAGTTTAGAGATGGTCATGGTACAAGATTAAGGAGTCACCAACCTTTCTCGCCGCCTTTTGCGGCCGCGGTCGCTTCGGTCTAGTGCACGGTCCCTCTCCCTTTCTTTTTGTTTCGATTTCAATATTTCGTCTGCGGTCCCTTTCTTCTTGAGTATGACCGCATCAGAGGGGGGCGCCGACTCTGTAAGAGCTGGGCGTAGTGAGGGATTCAGTAGTTGCTGAGTCCGCGAAGGGCGAGAGACGTATGGGCGTTCACTAGCAGCGGCTTTGCATTCAAAACTGTAATGACCTAGATGGTTATCAATCAGCAAATAGTCTGGCGTGAAGAGAAGATGACAGAGAAGAGAGCTGTGTTGTCAAATACCAAGCTTAAGGCATTTCTGGCACTTTGTTGAAGCAGAAGCACGAGATGACGAGGCAGAAGGGGCAAAAGGACCCCTAGAGCGATACATTGCTGGAAAGAAGGAAGAAATTTTGTGGAGGATGGGGAGTGATTGAAGAACAGAAGAGAAAGGCGATGAAGAAAGGGACGTTGTTGATAGTGAAACGATATAGTATGTGTACCAATATAGGAGAGAGTTAAGTCTTAGAGGAGGTAGTGCTAGTGTAAGTAATTGAAGGAATATCTTTCTCTCTCTTAGCAGAACAATCCGAGGCGAACTTGTGTACGGAAGATATTCTGGGGTGCAGGTGTATGTGTGTCAGTGACTATGTGACTACATGTAGTACGACACCTTGTAGGTCATACATTATTCCGTTTTATTTTTGCAGGTACTCTCCTTTGTATTCACCAGGACCGCTCAACAGGCAAAAAAATGGGCGTATGTTACTTTCATTACCTACATACATACAAAAACTCGTAAATCGGGCTTTCTTTCGTTTTCTTTGCCTTAACTGCCAAAACGGGAGTCTGCCGCTCCACAGCGTTTCTTGTGCACAAATGCACCCATTCGATCCTCATTGGCTGACTAATCAGATCTATGTATCAGATCTCTAAAGAGCCTATCGCGGCGGTTGCCAAGCACTAAATCACTTTGGGCAACAATTTGAAAGTTTGGCGGCCAGGCAACACTGAAGTCTTTTCTCTCACTCTTTCTGCTCCCCACCCCCACCCAGGTCCACAATCTCATTCTTCTATTTTACTCGAAGGAGGTCTTTCCTATCTTCCTTACAGTAGTTATATTAAAATAAAAGAATTCCCCTCAGATCTTTACTACATGTTCTCCCTTTCTCTTTGCACTTAAAACCTGGCCTTCCTCCCAGGCTTCATCGCCTTCCTCCTTCATCTGGACCTCTCTTCTCCCCCCTGTTGCTGCTACACCCCACTTTGCTTCGATCTTTCGCAAATGTGTTCGTTGGAGCATGTCTCGGGAGCATCGCAATTTCCAACAACTTCCTTTTGAGCTTTCTTGGTTTAGTTCTCGTCTTTTGTTCTTTTCCAGCTGCATAGCTTTTGGCGGAGATGTCTAGTTCATCACCCGCTCCTGTTCTTTCAGCTTCTTCAACTGCTACTACGGCTCCAACCACCACAACCACAACCACCACCATCACCACCACCACCGCCGACGCCTCAACAAAAACCACAACAACAGCAACTATTGCAGTTGACATCCCCGTCAACCCTTCTGACAGTGGTCTTGAGGTAATCTCTCATTTGCACCACGCTGGCCTCCTAAATTTGTGCTAACATTGTTTTCTCATTTACAGCTTATGGATGCGAAAGAATCCCAGGCGGATTCTCCCATACCAGTGAACGCCAGCGCCGAAATCGCTCATGACAGCAATAAAAACAGCCTTGTTACCTCCACAATCTCGGACGATGTGTACCCTATTTCAACCCCACTCGAACAAGGCGCACAACAGCCTCGCTCTTGCCCCCAAGATATTTCCTTAATTCAAGAATCTCTGGGAGGTCTCAACTTAGGAACTAGTCATACTACCGTGAGCGGAGAACCATCTCCTCATAACGGCACCTCGGATCTGTGTCAGCCCACTGGAAATGCTTCGGTGGCCACACAGGGAAACCCTGCTGAACCAGCTACTGTGGGTATACCTGCTTCCGAGATGCCCAAAAAATATGCCTTTGTTGCTTACAAGCTCCCAGTCACAAAATATAGCTCCCAGTCAGTCAGAAGGTCATGTTCCGGGGCTTGTGTCCCGCGACAGTGAACATAGCTCTGTCATATCCGACTGTGCAGACTCCTCCCCAGTGATAGTCGTGTCGTCGCAGTCCCAATCTCCCGAGCCTTTCGCCGACCAGCTCAAGCCCGTAGTTCCAATGCTTATTGATGAACCCGATGAGCGTCTTTTAAACGCTTTGGAAACCCCTCGTGATCGCTTGTTTGTGATAAGACTGGAGCACGATGTCATTAATTTCATCCAAGACAATATGTACGTTCAGCTTGGTCATATGTGGAAAGATTAAACCTAATCAAATGCAGCTGCGATGTTTTTGACCTGCCTCCCATCAATGCGTACCAACGTCTGCTCGCCCATAAAATGGCTGAATATTACAGACTTACCCACATTGCGGATGCCACCGGCGCTAGTGTAAGATTTTACAGAGGTCAACACGCCAGAATGTATGGACCCCAATCAAACAGACATTTGAGGAACTTTTATTTACTTAGATTGTTTTTTTTTTTAGCCCTCCTGTAAGATTAGGAGACAAGCCAACCGCGGCTCTTCAGCTCAATTCTGCAGCTAACGGATCCGCTGCCCCTATGAAAATTATGCGGCGAACACGTTCCGAAAAGGGGTCTGATACACCTCCCGAGCATCGGAACTCAAATACACCGAAAAAACCATCTTCCGAAACTTCCTCTGGAGATGGCTCGGCACGAACAGGTAGCAGAGAGGAGAGAGAGGAAGCCTACAGGGCCGCTCGGGAACGCATCTTCAAGGACTTTGTTGTATCGCCTCCTGAGACGCCTCCGCCCATTAAACAGAACGATAAGCAGAGAAAACAAGAACAGCCTGATGATTTTTCGGGCCGCTCTCAGTTCTTTCCTATATTGTCCCCTTCGGTTCCTGCGGTCAATCCAAATTATTACCCTCAATATGAGAACCCGGGATTACAGTTCCAAAACTCGCACATGCCTTTACAGCCGCACTTCAATCCAAATACCCCTAGTTTCAATCCGAATATGCCAAATTTCAACCCTCCCAATAACAATTTCACTCCACAGCCTTATATACCTGTGACGCCCCACCGTCAATTTCAAACGCCAAATGACAGGTTCAACGCACAAAATCCAGTAAATATGGGACATCTTGGATACCCTCAGCAACAGCCCCAGCCACATCCCCAGCCACAACAGCAGCAGCCTCAAAACCATCACCATCAGCAGCAACAACAGCAGCAGCAACAACAGCAATTACAGCTGCAGCTGCAGCTGCAATCGCAATCTCAGCAACAACAGCATCAGCATCAACAGCAGCATCGTAATAATTTCTTTGAGCAGCCAAATCACTTCAACTCCTCAGGCCCTTCCCCCCAACAACAACACAACGTAATGGCCAATCCTCCATTCACTAATCCTCCCCGCTTTGTACCACAACAATCATCCCACAACGCTCCTCACACCACGCCTCCTGTCCCTGCATCTGGGAACAGGCACCCTTACAATGCCCCCTCTAACTATGCTGTCAACAACAATAATATAACGCAGCACCGCTTTCCACAATCCGGGTTTGGCTGGAACCCTCCCGCTGTTGGAGGAGTCCCAATGAATGTGACAAGATCTCAGCCAGGCATGCAAAGTTTTGATAGGAACGCCCCATCATTCGGGGGGTTGCCATATCAGGCACATCAACCACAACAACAACAACCGTGGGGGGGTGGGGGTGCTTCATTTGGGAGAGGTGGGTACGGAGGAGGTGGGGGGGTGCATGGGCCTGTTGGCGGCATGTAGTACTAGGATGATGTTCTTGTTTGGAGTTTCAAATTGTAACCTGTATAGATCGCATTAGGCAGCTGGGTGTGGCCAGCGATACACCACTAAAAGCCTATCTCTTAGTACAGTGCTGACTGTGGCTTATTTTTCATCAGTATTTTATACTCTGGGCAGTTAGATGGGTCTTATGAAATCGTTGACGAGAACGAAGGGACCGGAGAAAAAAAGTCTTTTTAGATGCGGACTGGATCTAATTTCGTTTTGTTTGCTTTTTTTTTTTTTTTTGTCTTGTCTTAATGTTTACGCTCACTTTTGTTTTGGTTTTTGTTTGCTATGCGTCTGTGGGAGGTATTTTGTATCCTTTTCTTTTCTCTTGCTTTCGTTCGTATGGATTCTGGTGTCTCTAAATTGGGGATGGGTTTATGGGCTGCTGCACGAAATGAAAGCTGCGTTAGCTGAATATTTTGTTGGATACAAAAGTGTACGAGGTCGTGAAACTATATCAAGTACATGTAATTATCCCAATATTTTCAGAACACCACCATGCGCCGATCATGGACTATCACTCGCCTTGAAGAGAGTCGATCACAGGGCATCACTCGACTCAGCTGAGGAAGAAAAGATGGATATTTGATTCATTGATTGATTGATAATTCGTTGAGATGTGAGTCTGGTTATATAGCACATGAGGGAAAACTACCGCCGTAGGATTATTGGAGCTCGTCTAAGTATTTGCACTCGGCGCCAATAACGTGGTCCCCTGAGCCGCGCGAATAGTCACTGGCAGGATAGGTCGTTCTTTATCAAAAGGTAAGCCCTACAAGACCGTGCAGGCAGGCCTCAACTCGGAAGAGAAGACATATCACGACGGTGAAAGTGGGGTGGTGGTGGTGTTGCATGCGCAGTCCGGGCCAGATATGGATATATATATACTACGGTGAGCAGTAAACTGCTCATATAATAGTGGATAGGCACGAGAATGGGATACATGCATACATGTATGCACCGTATATACTGCATCTGATGGCTCGCCAGCCATCGAGAGAGCGGGTGATATTACTTGCTGGATCTTGCTATATATTCCGTGCAGCACGCTAGGCCGCAGCATTTGAGGCAGGTCTATAGTGGGAAGTATTTCTGACCTGTTGAGAAGGACCAAAAAAAATTGTTCCCAGCCATAACACCCCCCGAATCCTTCCCTGGATGGCGTTAGTATGGGCTGGACCGACATGACATTGAGCCAGTACTATATCTAGACTCTACACGTAGTACATGTAGCTATGTAGACATCCAAGCCCCCATGCTAGCAGTAGATAGTAGCTTTGTGGCATCATGGGAAATCACTCGTTGATGTATTTATTCCCCGTGCGCATCAGACACACAACTTAGAAAAGCTTAAGAGAGCAGGACTGGGTAATCATACAAAATAGATCATAAATAGCCTAAATCATAAAAGTACAGTCTATATATACAACTCTAACAACGATCTGATAACTACATACGTACCTACAGAAAAGTGAAACAAGAAAGGAAAAGGAAAAGAGGAGAACCACATGCGCATCTAGCTATAGCCAAGTAATCTATCTATCATGGTATCTTACCCCTCACTTCAACTCCCTCCCCCACTCGCCCACCTCCACCATCGCCCTCTCCCCCCCCTCCTCCAGCTCCCCCTTCCCCAGCACCCCCGCCAAGCTCTTCCATCCGCTCCTCGCCCCACCCCATCTTAACACCTCCTCCTTATACCGCTCCCCCGAGTCGCGCCGCAGCGGGTCCTGCTCAAACACGTCCTTCCAGATCTTGGCCGCAATCGCCCGATCAAACAGATACGCATAGTACGTCGCCCCATACCCAAACAGGTGTCCGAAGAAGCCATGCCACGACGTGCCCGGTGCCGCCGGCAGCAGCCCATACCTCCCCTCGACGTCATGATACACGGCGGTCGAGTCGAACCCCCGCTGCAGCGGCAGCCCCGAATGATACCGCTGGTCCAGCACCGAGAGCAGTATCTGCGTCCTTGTCTCCGTGGCCTCCATCAGCGACTCCTGCTGCAGCCGCTCGGCCACCAGCGGCATAGGCAGCGGCTCATCGGTCTGGTAGTGGCGCGCAAACAGGCCCAGCACCTCGGGCGCCTTCGCAAAGTGCTCCATGAGCACGCTCGGCAGCTCGGCCCAGTCCGTTGCGCAGCGCGTGCCCGCGACGTTGTGCAGCGCCGTGCGGCCGAGCATGGAGTGCAGCGCGTGGCCCATCTCGTGGAAGAGCGTCTGCACCTCGCGGAAGTTGAGCAGCGCCGGGTTTCCGCGCGCAAAGTCGCAGATGAGCGCGATGGTGGGCAGCTGGTAGAGGGTGCCGTCGGCGCGGCGGACGGACGCCATGCCGTCGTCCTCGCGCGCGCCCGTGAGCGCCTCGGCGAGGTACTCCTCGTCGCCGATCTGGCGCGAGCAGCGCAGCGTGAAGTGGGCGGGGTTGGGGTTCTTGCCGGCGCGCTCAAAGAGGTCGCAGTAGACGACGGCGATGTGGCCGTCGGTCTCGTCGATCACGTCGAGGCGGCGGACGTCGTCGTTCCAGGTTTCGCCTGGGAGGGTCTCGCGCGGGACGAGGCGGACGCCGTAGAGGCGGTTGAAGAGGCGGGAGAGGCCCTGCATGACGGTGCCGAGGGAGAAGTAGGACGAGAGGATGTCGGAGCCGCGGCGGCGGGAGCGGATCGCGTGCATCATTCGTGCTGTGTAGAGGTCTTTGTCCCATGGTTGGAGGGGTAATGATTGGCCGGCCTGTTTTTTGAGGAGGGCGAGACCGTCGAGTTCTGTCTGGGCGGCGGGGCGATTGGCGTCCGCGAGGGCGTTGAGGAATTTGGTTACGGCTTCTGTAGACTCCGGACTGATGTTAAAATTGGGATTTCAGTATAGGGCAAGGTGAAGAATATCACGGACCTGGAGAGGACGCCATCTTGTCTGCCAATGCGACCTCTGCATAGGTCTCACGCCCTACCAAGACCGCAAGTTCTGCTCTTCGCTTTAATAGCTCTTCCAGAACACCTATCTGCCGGGCGCTGCTCGTATGGCCAGCTATATATATCTCCTTCCTCACCTCTTCGTCTTCTACCGATCTTATGGCATGGTTCGCCGCCATCCCAATTGTGGGGATCGTCACCTTGCCCCGTTTCGTGAGCTCCCGGACAACCATAGGATCCATCCCTCTCAACCGCGCAGAGTCAAACGTCAGATAATGAGTTTCCGGCGCCATCTCGTTGATAAACTGCGGCCCCAGCTCCGCAATCTCATTGGACAGCTCCACAAACTTTCGCCTGGCCCCGGCCGGAAGATTGATGCCGCTCTTTTCAAAGTCCTTATACAGGATAGTCGCAACCGCCCTCTCCTCGTCCGAGAACTTTGCCACAACCTCCGGGTGGTCCAGCGCCCGCTTCAGGGCGTCATAGAGACCCGTGGTGGTGTTGAGAACATTCATGTACTCGTACATGACGGTGTAAGCTTCGTGCGCCGCCACGACAATCTTGCGGTCGGGGTGCGTCGCCCGCACAAAGTCCGACATGTCAATGACTCTGCAGAGCAGATCGCTCAGGCGGTCGAGGTCCCGCACGACCCGGACGAGCTCGTCGGGCGCGTGGGCATCGAGGATCTTGTCGACTTGCCGCTTGGCTTTCTGGAGGGTGCGGTCTGCGTAGGCCTTGAAGCCGGCGGCGGAGGTGAGGTCTTTGTTCTGGAAGAGGCCGGTGTGCTGGGCCGTGGGGTTGTGGGATTTGGCGGAGAAGTCGCGCCAGATGGCGGGGTTGTCGCTGGAGAGTCATGACTATTTAGCTGGTGCACTTGTCTGGTTTTTCTTAAGAATAAAAGTGAAAACAGAAAGAGAAAGAGAAAGAGGCATTGTATATTTAAATTTTTATAGAATACATGGTAAACTAGGCAAGGCAAGCAGAAGTGTAGATATCCGGGTACTTTTTCTTCTCTCTAAAAATCTAAAAAAACGAAAGAAAAAAAACCGAAGGGGGTGCAATTTACAAGATGTCCCTCAAGGTCTTGTCCTCCCAGCCCGCACCCGGAGCGGAATGCAGGGCGGGGTTGAAGGCAGCAGCTGCAGCAGCTCCAAGCTTCGGGGACTCGGCGGCGGCGGTCGCAAGATGTCTTTTCTGCTGCTGCAGAAGCAGGAGCTGCTGTTTGCGCCAGCAGCGGGTGCAGAGCGTTGACCACGCGGAACGGGGGACCACCACTCTGTACATGGTGAGCTGAGGGACGAGACAGCGGGCACGGTGGGTGGGGGGGGGGTTCAATTGGGTCCTGGTGTGTTGGGGCGGGAGAGAGAGAGAGAGCAAGAAGTTGAGAGAGGCGGGATGCAAGATGGGATGGAATCAGGCAATGGAGGGACGAGGTGTTATCAGATCGATTGATTGATTTTGATCTGGTGGTGGGGCTTGAGTGGGGAGGGACATGTGAGCACGCCACTCACGTGAGAGGATGCTGCCGTGGGATTAGTAAGAGGGGAGGGCCTGGAGAGGGCCATTGATGTCAGGGGACGGGGAGTGGGAGGGGAGCTGGAGGAGTGAAGGGAGGGGAAGGGGTGAGCATGGGAGAGCATGGGAGAGCGGGAGAGCTGGGAGAGCGGACGAGAGAGAAGCGTGGGAGAGCACTCGAGTCAGTCAATCCGATGCTGTCTGTACCTACTTCTACGCACGTGTAGGTCCTCATCCCACACGGCCACTACTTGCTTACTTACTCGCCTGCCGCCTCCAGCTGGATCCCACGCCGGGAGAGCGGGCTAGAGGACGCGGTGCTGGCTGGTCGCATGAAGAGCCCGGATGCAAACCTTAGATAGCAGGTGATATCAGACAGCCGGTGCTCTCTCCATCAAAGATCCAAGACCCGGACCGCGTGTGCCCTGGCTTGCATAGCCGCCCTTGCTGGCGCCCTTCATAGCCCTTCGTTTAGCCCTTGAGCCTCGCCCCAAGCACGCGCACAACAAACACACTCTCACTCTAGTTCCAGGTAACCGCCACTCACACTCACGTGACGGGTGGACATCAAGCTTCTCTTCTTCGCTGTGTCGAGTCTCGTCTTCCCTTTTCCTCTCTCCGCCAGGCATCACTCACCACACCCCACACCGCATCGAAACACCACCAACGAAGGATCCAAACACAGGGAATAATACCTTCACTCCCTTCCAGCACTCACCGATATCCCGCTCAGTCACTCGTTCACACACTCTCTCTCTCTCTCTCCCAGTCACTCCTTTTCAGCAATACCTCTCACAAAGTCACTGCACGTGCCCACCTCAATGACCATGGAGCCCACCGACATCGCCATGACCGAAGCTCCCACCTTTGCCCCTCCCCCCGCAAAGAAGCGCAAGTTTATCCGCCGCCGCCCCGACAACGACGACGACGACACCGCTCCCGACGCCGCCACTGCCCCCAGCACCCAAAGCACGACGCCGCCGCCGCCCGCTGAAAGCGCAGCTCCCCCCTCCCCCCCAACAGACCCCGAGACCCCAGACCTATCCACGATCCTCCGCCTCCGCAAGAAGCTCACGCGCCCTGCCCGCCGCGGCCTCGAGGTCACCGCGCCCAAGCCCACGACGCCGCAGACCGCCGCAGCAGCAGCAGCAGCACCGCATCTCCCGCCGGACGACGACGCCGCCGCCTCCAAGGCCGCCGAGGAGGAGGAGGAGGAGCTCCAGGCCGTCGTCAACAGGTTCACGCACCAGACGGGCCAGATCCTCGACGTCGACAAGCACATGATGGCCTACATTGACAGCGAGATGCAGCGGCGGCGCGGCATCGACACTTCCGGGGCCGCGGGCGGCGACAGCGGGAGCAGCGCCCCCTCGGGCGAGAGCGCGAGTAGGTCGGCGTACTGGACGCCCGTGGTGCCTGAGGGCCGTGGCGCGACGCTGGGGAAGCTGCATGAGGTTGATCTCGGGGAGGAGACCAAGAAGCGCAATATTGCGCGGACGCAGGAGGCCACGCGACGGCTCCAGGGTGATGGGACGGCGGCGGTGGTGACGGAGGAGGAGGAGGGCTCTGGGGGGAAGAAGAAGATGAAGGGGCGCAGGAGACGCAACAGCCAGGATATCCAGAGGGATAAGCTGGTGGAGGAGGTTCTCAAGGAGAGTCGATGTATGTTCACTCTATCTATCTATCACACTCGCTGCATATATACAGGAAGACTAACTAGCGGCAGTGGAAATGTACACCGAGCCCGACCCGTCCGAAGAGCAGCGCGAGACAGAAGGCGCAGCAGACGACCGCATCGCTGAAAAGTTCCGCCGCGAGTTCCTGGACGCGCTCATGTCGCGGCGCCGCCGCAGAGGCGGCGACAGCCGCAAGAAGAGAGACGAGACGAAGAAGCCGCGTGGGCCGAAGCTTGGAGGGAGCAGACAGGCGCGCGCGGCGATGCGGGAGAGCCAGAACCAGGCCACCGTGGTGGCGAAAAAACGGTAGAGAGAGAGAGAGGGGGTGGTGGTTGCATTTTGCGTGGTTTGTTGGGCTGGTTGGCTGGGGTTTGTCTTTTTTTTATTTCTTTCCCATTGTATGTGATAAGTAAATAGCCTTTTTCTCTTTTTTTTCTCTTTTTTACTCTCTTTTTCTTTAAAGTCTTTTCTTTTTATCTTCTTTTTACGCTTCGTTTTTTTAAAAACAGGAATAAGGACTTGTAAATTTTTCGTTGCATGCGGCGGGCAGTAGTTAGAATGGGATGGCTGAGGGTTTGCGGGTGAATATATCATTGACATGGTTATTATAGACGTTGGTTTTTCCCCCGAAGGTTACATACAATCCGCCCCAACCCGCATGGCTATGATAGAGACAGCGAGCAGTTCCGCTAGAAAATACATCTTTGAAATACTCAATACTAACGACGTTTACCCTTAACACTCGATCGAGAATACACTAATCTACCGCGAGTTTCAGGGTCAAACGCTTGTGATCAATAAACATGTACCCCGGATTCACACGCACCCTGGGAGCTCTCAGTCGTCGCTAGCTACACTATCTACATGTAGTAATGATAAGAATACATGTAGCAATAACGATAAGAGTATCCCTGGCCCCACCAAGGGTGCTCATCTAGGTTGACGAAATCGAGTGATCCTTCATGACGTACTAATTACGAGAAACTGAATAGGGGAATCCAACCACAGCCGATGAAGAATCAATGTGATGGCACCGGCATGTATAGCGCTTCTAGTATCTATATATATCGGGGATTTTATTGAAGATATGGAAGGAGGATGTTGAGGGGTAAAAAGGTACTCTCTACCACGGCTACCCCCAATTCAGCCATAGACAACCCCCCCCCCAAAGTCCTAGTGGCGTCTGCTGAGGCAGAGTGATAGTCCTCCCCCTCGCCCCATATGTATTCTTAGTCAATGAGTAGTCCATGGCCAAGATGCAAGTACTGGACAACCCCAAACCTGCGGGTTATAAAACGAGCACGTTTCCTATCTTACTCGATATGTCTGCACGTACTTTATCGGGAGAAGAGGCTGGAAATTATCCTAAACTTTAATACCTCCCCACATTTTCTTTTAAAGTTTTCTCCCCACGTGGTTCGGCTCGCGCGTTCTTAGCGAGTGTTTAGTGCCACCGAGTGATGCGCTGTGATTGCATCTGGAGGTATCGAAGTGCACGCTATACGCATTAGGGATTGATTAGGGACGGAAGTGGACGGAAGAGGAGGAGGAGGAGGGGGACCCTGGTGGCTTGGGATCTCCGGTATCGATATATCCAAGAGCCTTCCAGCGTAGTCTATGCCTAGCTACGTGCATATTTATAGACTTGACTGAGATAGGGTTGACTCGATGGATGGCTTTAATATGACATCTCCGATTGTGTTGCAAATGACGTTCAAGCGTCATGCCACTCATACGATGGCTATTATATGATATGGAGGAGGAAGAAGAACCGGTCGGTTGACCTGCAGACAATGCCAAGAGGGCTGGGGATTGTCTGTCTGGCTGTTAACATTGATGTCAGGCAGGGGAGTTGTCTAGCAGGAGACAGCTAGACAGAGCAGTTAACGCTGACTTCAATCTCACAATAGGCCCTATTATCGATCACTCGTGGGCTGGCTGTGTAAATCTCCGACTCTCACGATGTCTTTCTCCCACTCTCTCTCTCTCTCTCTCTCTTTCCCTGTGGGTTGCCCCGGGGAAATTGCGCCCTTTCATGCGGTAATATTGGTAACGACAGCTTGTATGTACAAAGGAGAACGGGACACATTGGGTTTTCTAGGCGGCGGTGTTTTTTTTCTCTTAGACACGGTTTCAAATAATAAGACAGCTGTAGCTGCAGCTTATTCTTCTTCTTCTTCTCTCTCTGCTACTACCACTGCTACCGCTCTTCTTCTTCTTTCTTTCTCTTCATCTTCGCCTTGTTCTTCCTCTTGTTGTTTTTCAATTCTGGGAGGTTACATTGCAGAAACAGACAGCCAACCAGAAATCAACCAGTCCGTCCATCACATCCATCGACTGCTCCTGCATCTCATTCGGTCGTTCTCAGTCTTCATCATATTTAATTAGTATAATATTCTCTCACCTCCCTGCAACAGGGTCTCTTCTTTCATTCTTCCTCGCCACCACTCACTTGCACGCCCCCACCCCCTACAACAATACTTACATTGGACCGTATTATCCATACACCCGGATATCTGCTTATCGCTCGTTCCCTCTCTCCTGCATTGTCACGACCCAACAACGTCCAGACCAACGCTCTCACATCCAAGTCAAGTACTCCTCTCCCATAATCTGTATCAGTGACACGGTCCCCATACCACTCACTCCAATAACCTCCCACCAAACCTTTCCTCACGCGCCTAACCACCACCACAAATCCACCATGGGCCGACCAATCTGGCGCGAACCTACCGAAAAGCGCACGGCCGATGCTGCTCTTGAACCTCGTCGCGAAGCCGTCGTCCGTCGCTCTGCCGGCATTCGCCCTCGAGTCCGCGGCTCAGACCGTTCCTCGGGCACCCTATTCAATCTCCTACGCAGCGATTACGCCCTCGAAAACCTGAGTACGGGTCCCGCTAGATGGAGCGACAACGCGAGCTTGCTCGCGGCTCAGCGTGGCGGCGGCAGAAGAGGCCTTGGCAGGTCTGAGCCGCTGCGCCCTCAGTTGAGTCGCTCGGTGGCGACGGGCGAGGAGGTCTATACGCCGTGGTTCCCGCCCGCTGGTGATCGTGAGCTGGCAATGCAGCGCAGGGAAGAGATGGAGCGCATAAGAGAGGACAATGAGAGACGTAGGCTACTAGAAAGGCTGGATAGGGAGCGCGAGCGGGAGCACGAGAGGGTGGCGCGCCTGACCGAGGAATTTATACCGGATGATATGTCGTGGTTCGGGCTTCCGCTGTCGGCGCGTCAGAGATACGTCGCCAGCCTCATTGACGAAGGCCGCCGACCCGAGCCCTCATCAAACGCGACCCGTGAGATTCACTTGCCGCGCTTCGATATTGACGGCTTGGGTGATCGGGAGCGTTCTCTCAGGTCAATACCCTCACTCCCTACATATCTCACTAGGCTAATCGAAGGAGCGGATGATAGTCCTGACGCAAATCAGTGGGAGCTCATGGCCGAACTCGGTTTTCCAGGCTGTGAGCAGGATAGCGAGGACAGCGAGGACGATGAGCACAACCTCATGGACGCTCTTGGGACCCTAGAAGGAGAAGTGGAGAGGGATAGGTCTGAGATGGACAGGTTGAGAAGAGTGGCCAATATGTTTGCAGCGCATAACAGGGACATTGACAGGCTGGTTGAAAGATTGTAAAAACTGTAATGAATCGGCGTTTACGATTTTCTTCATTTTCTTCTATTCTTTGGTGTGTTGTTATTGCCCTTTATCTTCTTTCCTTTTTTTTTTTCCCTCAATCTTTCTTACTTTTTTTTTTCTCAATGATTGAAATGGCAATTGGGTTCTTGCTCAGGGTGTCAATGTTTTTTCTCCAGATGTTCTTTATACTCCTTAAGTTTATCTCTCTCTCTTCGTGGGAGATATATATATATATATATATATGTATGTGTACATTTCTGTTTCGTTTTTCTTTGGGATATGGATACTATTTCAAGGCTCTGGAAGGCCGTTTATGTTTTATCTTATGTATCATGATTCTCTGTGCTCAGACACGAGACATCACTCAAGACGACATAAATAAACTACAATCTAATCATCGATACAGACTCTGAAGGGTCACTCGGAAACGACAAGAAAAACAATACCCTCTATACAGGTATCTATTCAAGGCTACCACAATACCATATCTCTATCCAGTCTAACTATTGTATGCAGGCAGGTCTTTAGTTCTTACTACCCCCCATCTATGCATCCATCTATTCCGAATTTGCATATTCCAAATCCTCCACACTCCTAATCACCCTACTTGGCGTGCACATATTCTCTATGATGTAGTCCCCATTGACCAAATCGTTCTCATCCGCCCGCTTTGCCGCCGCCTCCTCCGTGTCCGCCAGGCCAGCCGCCAAGTGCCTCGCAATCAAGCGCTTCCTCGCAACATCCCTATCAACAGATACAAACCATAGCTCATCGAAGAGCGCCGAGATCTCGCCCCAGATCTCGGTTTTGAGGGATAGATAGTTACCTACACACACAATCAACCCCATCGAAAAGGCAATAGAAACAGAACGGAGGGGGGGGGGGGGGGGGGTGATAGAGACCTTCAAAAACAAGTATTCTCTGCGTCGTCAGGATGGCGATATCATCCTCGACGGGGTCCTTCTTGGCGTGGTCGAAGCTGGGCGCAAAGATGGTCTTTGAGTCGGGCGTGATGGGCGCCCTGACGCGCAGCACGAGCTGCTTAAGCGCCACGGGATCGAAGGTGAAGGGCGCGCCGCGGCGGGCGTGGGCCTCGAGCGGGCTGGGCATTGCGGAGAGGGCGGCGCGGGTCAGGTGGTAGCCGTCCTTTAAATATACAGAAAGCAATTGTTATCATCATTTGCACATTATAATATGGATTTTTTCTTTCTTTGTGTGTGTGTAGAAGTATTTGGGCTGCTGCTCTCTAGATGCCAGACTGCAGGGCCTGATACTACTACTACTGCTATCATCATGAATTACTACGGCTGGTGCGTGCGTGCGTGCGTACCATGGGGATCATTGCCGCGACGTCTGGGTCAAGGGCGTTGAGGCGGTTGACGACCTTTCCGGCGAGCGTGGTCTTGCCGCTGCCGGGGATGCCGGAGACGCTGATGAGGACGCGGGAGGCTGGGGGTGCGGCGGCGAGGAGCTCTGGGAGAAGGGGGGTTTTTATTTTATATCATTGATGCATTTGGTGTTTTGGTTTGGTGGGTGGTGTTATATATACATAAGTATATATGCACATGTACTTATATATATATATATATATATGTGTGTGTGTGTGTGCGTGTGTGTGTGTGTTTGTGATGGAGAAAAAAAGATACACATACTGCTTGTTGCGTTCACGAGGTCATCAATTATGTTTTCCATCATTTTGATGTGTTTGTAGTTGTAGTTGTTGGGGTGGAGTAGAGCGGTGAGGCTGGAAAATTGTGGTGGACGGTGTATGATGTGGGGCCTAGAGAGCTTGTTATTTATTCAACTCTTGTGCTTGATGATGGAAATCAATGTCCAGTGAAGAGTGGCTGGGGGATGATACATACTAAATATTCAGAAGTTACTGGAACTGTAATGTGCAATTGTTTGACGATATCGATTGTTGAAACAACCCAGCAGAGTGGTAGCAGCAGTAGCGGCAATGGCAGTAGCAACAGCAGTACCTCCCCCCCTTCCCCCTCCCCTCCCGTCCCTTCGAGTAGGTACATAGCAGGACATCATCATATACCCGGCATCCCCTATCAACGTTATCGTGTTATGCACCAGGGGGGATAAAATGCCAGCCAAGACGGCTCCTTCCCGCTGCAGATCTACCGGTGCAACAACTGTAATAGCACTCAACATCCTAATACCTACCTACATCTCAAGCCAGCCACTCATCCTCTCATCCGCCCATTCATTAATCCACTCATCCACTCGTACACTTATACTCATATGCAATATCAGAAAACCACACATCAATACTAAACATTTCCTCTCTCAGGCCCCCTCAAAATAGAAAAAAAAAAAAAAAATGATTGATCTTGGCTTGAAGAGAATCGGCGCACTCTTGCAAAACCAAGGCCGCTTCCCCTGGCAGGCTATTCACGTATGTGCATGCGCAACTTCAGGCAGATTTGTTTCGATAGTACCAGTGCCCAGTACTAGTAGTAATATAGTTGTTGCGATTGCTGCTGATAATCAATTTCGCAGGTTGCAGGAACGAATGGAAAAGCGAGTGATCTCTCAGGCAACAGAAATACTATTCTTCCCAGGCGGCGGCAGCTAAGTTGTCTCTGTCCGAAATAGGGTTCCGTATGCGCCTACATTTCGTCTGTCCTCAATGCCGCTGGGATCCCTTGTGGCCGTTTCACATCCCCCCACCTAGTCGACCGCTGGGACTGCATCACGCTCAACGAAACCACCGTCTCGAAATCAGTCTTCCTGGAAGTCGAGGCTGCAATCAAGGAGAGAGACGCAAGCCTGGGAATCGGGGCCACCGAGTTCGAACTGCTCACAGCCACGGCCTTTGAGATATTCTCCAAGCAAAAGGTTGATATTGCCGTTGTAGAGGTTGGCATTGGCGGAAGGCTGGACGCAACAAATGTGTTTGAAGCGCCACTCGCGACCGTCATCACAAAGATTGCGCTGGACCATCAGGGCTTCTTGGGGTCTACATTGGAAGAGATTGCGAAGGAGAAGGCGGGAATCATGAAGAAGGGGACCGCATGCGTGGTTGATGGGTCCAACACGGGGCAGGTGCTTTCCGTGCTGCAACGCATTGCGTCCGAGGTGGGGGCAGGGGCTTACACCATCTCAAAGCCGGACGCGTTGGGCGATGGGTACGCTGAAATAATGACTCTGGCCTTTGGAACCCAGCGCTTTACGAGTTTTCTACAGGGAAACTACCAGTCCTCAAATCTTGCGTGTGCCGTGAACGCACTTTCTCACGCGGCGGAAAAGTTCCCAATGATCACCCCAGCGGCGCTCCAGGCAGGCATCAAGTCTACAACATGGCCTGGGAGGATGGAATGGGTTGACGTTTCGCCCGTGGTTGGGAAGCAAACTTCAGTGTTAGTGGATGGCGCCCATAACCCCGAAGCCGCAGACGCTCTGGCGGAGTATGTGAACAGAAAGCTCCCAGGCCCAGTGACATGGGTGCTCTCTGCGTCTAAAGGCAAAGAGGTCAGGATAATGTTGCAGAGCCTTCTTAGGGACGGGGATCATGTTGTTGCTGTTGCATTCGGGGCCGTAGATGGAATGCCGTGGGTTTCACCCGTCGACCCACAGGAGATCGTGAATGAAGCAGTATATGTTTTGGGAAGCGGCGAGAGTGTTACAAATTTTGGTCACGATATAAGCGCTGCGTTGAAGACGGCATGCAACGGTGGAAATGTGGTCGTTGCTGGTAGCTTGTCAGTATCTACCAAATTAACAAGCGGATATATAGCGTTTATATGCTGACGAACGTTCAGGTATTTGGCCGGAGAGGTTCACAAACTAACGAGGCCCAATTGAGTTGGGAACATATATAAGTTTATGTATTCGAAGGCATTGTAAATATGATCGCTCCACTTAAAAAGGATGAACGATTGATTTTTAGTCATGACTAGCGCTATATTTGATTGCAATATCTTGCCATCGTACAGCCTTGCGATATATATCCCAAGAGGATATATGAGATCTTTTCCGTAATATTTATCTAAAATGACACAGTGTTCAGTAGACTTGCTCTACAATAACACATGGTGCAAAATGACAGTTTTTTAAAACCGTACCAACTACATGTAATACGTATTCAAGTACCCCCACGAGCTGTTGAAGCCAAAACAACGGCTATCAGGTAACGGCTTACTAGGTTATGGCCAATAGTGTATATGATCAATAGTTCATCCAACAGCTTGATAACACCTTTTCATTTTGGACCATAGTCATGCTCTTTCATTCACTCGTCACACAATCAACTCAGACAGCTGTGCCAGCTTATTATGCATACAGTACGAAAAAAACGGGGTGAAATCAGTTGCGGGATTTAGTGAATAATACCGGCATTACAAAAGAATACCGTATTCTTGCTGCATTACTAGCGAATCCATACCCTTTTTTTTTGGTATTGTATACCTATATACTCGCATATCAAGTATGTTTTTGCGCAACCAGCAAAACATATAGAATCTCGAGAGCTTTCCCATCTCCCCTGAAATTATGCATCTTTTATCTAGACACCTGAAAGACTCTACAGGCCACTTTTAGGCCATATCCATAAAGAACGAGGCGAAGGGTGTCTTAAAAGTCCTTTTATTGCTTTCCTCTCCACCTTTACCAGTATCTCAATTAGGCCAAGAATTTGAAGCATGAATCTCCCTTATCGAAATTATACTATACTTGGTCGTTGCAGTTTTGGTATAACTATGGGACTTTTTATGAGTTGTTGAAAACCTCGATTTTTGGTGTGTTTTGCTGGTTGGGCAAATACATAGTTGACAAGCGAGTACACACTTAATTTATAAGGTTGCACGTTAATTGTAAATAACCTTATCATCTAAAAAAAAAAAAAAAAAAAAAAAAAAACGGGTGGATTCAGTACCGGGACTTTGTTTGGCAGAATACTAGAGTACATGGTTACGGTACCTATTGATACAGCTTGATAAACTAGTATGGCATCAAAAGCCAACTAAAAATACCACAATATTAGAAAATATTCTGTGTTGACCATTTCCGTCTCTTGGCGGCAATCTAGAGTATTTGTAATATCGTGATATTTTTTCTCGTGGGCAACGAATAGGCCTTGATTCGAAAGTTTTACACGACGCAGGTTGCGGTTGTAACCGGTTAAGAATATGTGTTAGTTTGAGATCCTAAGGTTATAATTAAGTTGCGGCACTGACTCAACCCAATCATCACTCTCATAATCCTTCTTCCGAGCATTGAGAGAAATATTGCGGCTTGTGGTAGAATAATGAGGTATCAAATAAGTAAGGAAAGCCTTTACTTTGTACCGTTACCAATCCTTCCTGTTAAGTGGTTCGGGGGTGATGAGGTTTTGGTTTCCTAAAACAATTAGACACTTCCACCACTCACCCGGACACACTCACACGGACAGTTGATGGTGATTGGTTGACAAGAGGTATAAAAGCCAGTTATAAGGTAGATCATCTAGTTGTCCGGGTGGGTGGTGGAGCCGTCTACCTCGAGAAGTAATTACTATCATGAATATACAGTCGCAACTCGATATGCCGGATTGCCAAGATTCTAAGGATTCCGTACGGGATAGCAAAAAATCCGGGATAGCAGATTGATTTTGCAGTAGGAAAAATAATATTCTCAGAGGATCTCGTACGGGACAGCAAGGGATCCGGTGTATTGAGTTCCGGCATATCGAGTTGCGACTGTATACTTGATCCTCACATTTCTCCACATTACCTAACCGGTCCTGATAATTTTGAATTGTCCGAACGGGGCCTTCTTAGAGAAAGGTGGGTTTGAAGTCGGGCTCTCAAGCCGCTGCGCGGCTTTTGAGCACTTGCGGAGTACCTACGAGCCATAGCGCAGCTCCAGTTACTAGTACAAGTCCGGTTGTCATGTAAATGTTGAGTCATCGGTGGCTGACCACAAACATTTTTTTCTGGCAGGGTTTAAACTTTCGCCTCAACTTTAAAACCCCCCGAAACCATTATAAAAATCGCACAAATCCCACCTTCACCACCACAAAACCCAAAAATGCCTGCCCCTACAGCTCTCGTAAAAGCTCCTGAATCTATCACCCCGGCTGTGGAACAATCAACCATGGGTACATTTATTCTATTTCTTTTGTAGACAAAATAGCGGGGAAATGAAAGAGAAAATTCTAACTGAGACCATGGCGGGGTTATCTATAGAGGTCGTTGACGACGAAGTTCTTATCGACGCTTCAGCTTCCACAGCTCCCGCTTTCAGTATTGTAGTCCCTCTGCTGAAGGAAGCAGACGATACTGAAATGCACATTGACGAAGAAGGGCGCCCGAAATTTGCGCCCGCGAAAGCGAAGGTATGTGTCCCCAGTTTGCAGGCCGATGCCTTGGTTCCCAGCACTAAACTTTCATGTCCTCTAGAAAATTAGGCAAAAATCCGAGTCGCGAAAGGTTGGAATACCACCTCACAGAATGGCGCCTCTCAAGTCGGCATGGCCCAAGATCTACCCCCCACTCGTGGAGCATCTAAAGCTCCAGGTTAGGATGAACCTTAAGGATAAGACTGTCGAGCTTCGCTCTTCGGCAATTACAATAGATACTGGAGCGCTGCAGAAGGGTGCCGATTTTGTTAAAGCATTCTCGCTGGGATTCGATGTGGACGATGCTATCGCTCTGCTCAGGCTCGATGATCTGTATATTGAGACCTTCGAAATCAAGGATGTCAAGACTCTCACCGGCGAGCACTTGGGAAGAGCAATTGGGCGCATTGCAGGAAAGGATGGAAAAACGAAATTTGCGATTGAGAACACTACCAAGACCAGAGTTGTTTTAGCAGACCAAAAAATACATATCCTAGGAGGATTTCAAAATATCAGAATGGCGAGGGAAGCCATTGTCTCATTGATCTTAGGAAGTCCTCCGGTATGTGCAATCCATAGTTTAAATTCCTGGTGGGGTACTGACGACATTATAGGGCAAAGTTTATGGGAATCTCCGAACAGTGGCTGCGAGGCAGAAGGAGCGGTTTTAGGAAATTTGGGTTCATTTTATTTTATTTCGCTTTTCTTTTCTTTTCCTCTCTTTACGACGTTATGGGTTTCCTGGCGCGCGGGTTCTATAGGTATTCGATTCTTTTGTTTCTTTTCTTAGATACGCGGATACCGTGTAAATGCGTATTTATCTAGGGTATGCGCGTGAGTTCCTATCACGTGAAAGGCCACCCATGCTGTAGAAGGATGCTTGACAGCCTTATCCGCGGTGGAGATTGCGACATCGCTACCCGCGATATGTGTCGTCGGTACATACCAGCCGCGAGTTCAGCTCCTTGACTTAGATTCGTGCTAGGTATTATCTTCCGCAATGAAACTGCAGCCTCGATCGAGGCTTAACATACTGAGCATGATTCAGATGATTGGGACTTGAAAGTGATTGGCTAAGTTGTGAAGTCTGCAATTTTATTGATGGGAGTTGTTCGCTGCAGGGGTTGGGAGATCAATCTTTGACTTGTAGGCAGGTTTATGTGTGTACATAGACAGGTATATTGCCATTTCTCTATCTCAAAGTTTCAAGAGAAAGGAAGGGAGTAGGTGAGAGAAGAGGGGGTCTCGTTTGAATGAATTGTCCGGGGTGATTCGCATGGGAGCCGGGAGAACCCCCCCTTTCATCTGCCTCACATAGAGAGAGCATAGTAGATTCGTGTATACATATTGGGATGGGCGGGGGAAAGCAGACAAAGCGATTGAAGTCTCTAAATGCAGTTACACTGGGGTCGAGACCGCCTAAGATAACCCCGCAAGAGAGGTCAGAAAGGATACATGTAGAGGGAGAGAGAGCGCGAAGAAGAGAGAGCGAGAGATCGTACTGCTTCCTCTTCTCTCAACATTGCGTTTGAGGTTCCGTTGTCTGCGACGGGCGTGGTTAAAACTCCGTCTCGACTGGGGACAGGAAGCCCATACAACATACATACCTGTGTTTAAGCCGCAACCCTTTGCGCAGTTTGTCCCCTACACAAGGGCCTATCTGCTCGCTGCTCGCTACTCTGCTCACGTCTTGTCCTGGTCATTGTCCTTGCTTTCGTCCTCCTTGTGTCTGTGTCCTGGCAATGAAGACGCTGCTACTATCGCTCGCCCGATCCCAACTCTACAAGTCGTCTCTGCTGCTTCTCTAAGTGAACAAGAAATGCCAACCCTCACTCCCATCCCGGTCAGACAGAATGGCCGTCAAATCGAACGTCCGAGAACCCCAAGCAGACCTAGCACCTCGTCTTCTTCTAAAGAAAATGAGGCTTCCTCAAAAAATTCCGCGCCTCTGGCAGATTACGTAGGTTAACTTTCTGCTGGTGCAAGGAAGGGATGCCTGGCTGACTTTGAAGATAGACCCTTGGAGACTGTCTGGGGAAGGGCGCATTTGGATCAGTGTATCGAGCACTCAATTGGGGAACTGGAGAAACCGTCGCTGTGAAGCAGGTGAGGCTCGCAGATTTGCCAAAGAGTGAGCTGAGGGTTATTATGGTAAGTCTTCCGCGACTGTGTGGGTTGTTGGCTAGTACTAAGTTCTGTTGCATAGCTTGAAATCGACCTTCTGAAGAACTTGAATGTATGTGGAATACACGTCCGCCTCCCTGGTACTACCTACACCTACTGATCATAAGGCAGCACCCAAATATTGTTCAATACCATGGCTTCGTTAAGACGACGGACTCTTTGTACATCATTCTGGAGTATGTAGATATCTCGGGTGAGGAAGTACCGAGGCATGGGCTAATGATCAATAGGTACTGTGAAAACGGCTCCCTCCACAGCATCTGTAAAAACTTTGGAAAGTTCCCCGAAAACCTGGTCGGCCTCTATATGACGCAAGTTCTCCATGGACTACTGTATCTCCATGACCAGGGTGTTATACACCGTGATATCAAGGGTGCCAATATCCTAACGACGAAGGAAGGCTTGGTCAAGCTGGCGGATTTTGGAGTTGCCACAAGAACTACCGGGCTTAGTGACTCGTCGGTCGTTGGAACTCCGTATTGGATGGCGCCGGAGGTTATTGAGCTTGCAGGAGCTACTACATCGTCAGATATCTGGTAAGATGCTTCTTCAATTTTCGGGAGTTCTTGGTTAGGGCTTATAGAGGTGAAGGAGTGTGGGATGTACAGTGGTTGAACTTCTTGATGGAAAGCCGCCATATCATAAGCTTGCTTCCATGCAAGCATTGTTCAGAATTGTCAATGATGACCATCCGCCACTTCCGGAGGGAGCTTCGCCGGCAGTTCGAGATTTCCTCATGCAATGTTTTCAGAAGGATCCCAACCTCCGAGTTTCGGCTCGTAAACTACTGAAACATCCATGGATCGTCAATGCGAAGAGATCAGACTCTGTGGTGCGAACACCAACTACAAAGTATGATGAGGCCGTCAAAAGTGTACAGCAATGGAACGCGGCTCTACAGTCTCCAAATGCTCCGAAAACAACCCGGCCTTCCGTCCTTAGCCCCAATCCTCCTCGACGTACACATGTATACAGTCTCGAGCCTGGGAAAGGGCCATTGGCGTTGAGGTCTCGGCCAACTGAGGCGTTCATGTCTCCAGAGAATACCCGTCAGTATACAATTCTTACCTTTTCTCGTTTTTCCGATTACTAAATCTGCAATAGTGGAGGATGATAACTGGGACGATGATTTTGGGTCTGTTATATCTGCGGCTGCCCTTCAGTTTCCCCGCAATAAGATTGCGGATGGAAACATTGCAGGGCTGCAATCTTTTGACCGATTGAAGTCCTTTGCATCCAACGATGGCACAGACGAGAACTGGGGTGATGACTTTGAAGGGGATATTACCATTAAAAGTCCACCGAGTGAGTGATGTTTCGTGAACCAAAATCCATACCAATGATTTTTACTAATGAAAGTACAGTCATGGATTTTGAGGCAGATCCTATGCAGACGATAAGACCTTACTTTCCTCGTAGACAAAGCGAACCCTCCCTACCGAGTGACGATATATCCACCACAATGATCCCAATTACCGAGCCCCCGCCATTGCCAACAACGCCTACGAAATCGAAACCGCGAAAGCTGATGTTGCCGTTTCGAAATACGTCACGCCATCCATCAGTATTCAGAGAAGATGCATTCGAGGATTATTCTGATCTTGCACCAGTTAACGAAGCAACATTTGCTAGGAAAGTTGACTTAATGAAGGTAGAACATACCCTGTCTCCTTGCTTTATATTATGCCTGTGTCTCATTAGATTTATAAATAGAAGGATGCGTCCTTAAGTCCGCGACTTTTTCATCCGAGTGATCTCAAAAGTCTACCGAGATCTACAAATTCCTCTCAGCATGGTAGTTTAAGGAGGCAAATATCATTGGCGTTGGGAGATACAGAAACGCAGGCACATGCAATACGGAGGTCACGGTCTTCGATGGAGATACAGAGATTTGCGGAGCCCGAGGGCGAGGACGATTATTCGGATATATTTGGTAGTGAAGGAGGAACTGATGAGGCTGGCTCTGAGACTAGTGGCGATGACCATAGCTTGTTACTAAACACCAAGCTTTCAAACAATTCTTGGGTACGTCCATATATCATCTTCGGTTTGTTTCTTACTGATTTTCATTTATTTTTAGCTGGGAGACGAGGAACCCGATGAGGATGATCCATTCGCCCAATTAGAAGAAGGGTTTGACGAAATGGGTGAGATTTTTCCCACCAGGTTGGACTAAGGAAATACAACTGATACGTTGATAGATCTCGAGGCAAATATTGCTAGAGATAAATATGCACGACTTTGCATACAGGTTGAAGCCTTGGTTGGCTCATTAAAAGAAACTCAGTCGGAGGAAGACCTGGATGATATCTCATCCCAGTTGGTATGACTTTTCTCGGAGGAGTCAAAAAACAGACCTGCCAGCTAATTTTAGTAGATGGACGTCCTTCTGGAATCCCCGGAAACAAGAAATACTATAATTGGTGCTCATGGTATGTTACCAATATTAGAGGTTTTGGAAACTTGTAAGAAACGGGAAGTCATCCTCAAGCTATTGAAGATTGTAAATGCTGTAGGTCAAAATTCTTTTAGTTTTGCGGCATTATCCTGACGAATCCCAGATCATTTTCGATGATGTTGAAATTCAAGAGAACCTGTGTTTTGTTGGGGGAATCCCCATCATCACGAAATTTGCGTCGAAAAAATACCCAGGGCACATCCGTCTGGAAGCGGCGGCATTTGTAAGACAAATGTATCAAACTTCAACACTGACATTACAGATGTTTGTCAGCTGTGGAGGGTTGAATGTTCTTGTAGAGTTTCTGGAAGAAGATTATGACGCCCAGAAGGATTTAGTACTCATCGGAGTGAATGGCATTTGGAGCGTCTTCGAAATGCAGGGCCCTACGCCAAAGAATGACTTTTGCCGGATATTTTCCCGAAGCTCGGTTCTGCATCCATTATCATTGGTATTGTGTCATGTTCTTGATGAGGACGGGGAGTTGTCGGATTTATGCGTGGAACGTATAGTCAACATATTCTACTTATTTTCCCAAGCAGAGAACCATGTCAAGGAAATGGTGGCGGATAGGATAGTTTTGAAAAGTATACCATTCCTATCTTCCATTCAACCTCAAAACTAACATTTTGGCAAGGAGTGTTAAAAGACCTGAAGCGGATGGCACCGTCTCATCAGGTGGTAATGTTGAAATTCATCAAAAATCTGTCCATGTTGTCGTCTACCTTGGATACATTGCAAAACTCCAATGCAATCGAGGTCCTGACTGATCTTTTGACTGCCAGTATGAACGTATCACATTTTAAGGTTTTTATTTCTGATTCTTGATATGTTTGTTGGGTGTTCTAACCATATTCTAGGAGATTTCAAACCAAGTCCTGAATACAATGTTTAACTTGTGTAGATTGAGCAAGTCTCGACAGGAAGAGGCTGCTCTCCATGGGATCATTCCATTGCTCCAACGTATCGTTAGTACGGAGCGGCCACTTAAAGAATTCGCGCTACCTATCCTTTGTGACATGGCCCACTCTGGAAAGGTGTGCAGAAAGATACTCTGGCAAAACAAGGGTCTTCAGTTTTATATATCGTTACTCTCGGACCCGTATTGGCAGGTTACTGCGCTTGATGCCATCTTTGTTTGGTGAGTTTTTTTTTTTTTTTTTTTTTTTATGTTGGTATATTTGGCTTAAGGCTGACAGTGTTATAGGCTTCAAGAAGAGACAGCAAGAGTAGAGGAAAGGCTGCTCGGCGAGTCATTTACTACAGCTATCATAAATTGCTTTACAACTTCGAAAACAAACGCCTTCGAAAATATTCTTGACCCTTTACAGAAATTAATGCGTTTAAGCTTGCCGATTGCTCATGCCGTTGGCCAACCAGAGTTTTTTGCTCGAATTCTCAGCAAGTTATCTCACCACAAAGCCCTTGTTCGATTGAATCTTCTCAGGATCCTACGGACTATCTGTGATGCAAGCGAACAGAAAGAAGCCTTGATTAGAATACATGGGATGTATAGCACGATCTATCGTTTGGCGCAAAAGGATAATGCTGTGCTTGTTTCGAACCTTGCGGGAGAATTGATAAAAATGTGTGCTGAGAGGGAGAAAGAGAAACGTGTGAGCTATCGCAGTAGAGGACATAGAAGCATATCGTCAAGCACCTCGTCATCATTTTCTATGAGAGAGAGGGCTTTGTCTTCTTCGTCACAGCGGGGGAACGTCTCTAGCCTATGGGGCTATGATGTGAATGGTATCGTTGCAGGAGATGAGATCGACATGAATCATCTACCACTGAGCTCTGGTAATAGTGCTGGAAGAGTTGTACAAGAGAAGAAAAAGGTTCTCAGGAGAACGCCTCAAAGCTCGGGACTGAGGACTTCAAATAAATATATACCTCGAAGAAGTCGTGGGCCGCCTACTACCGAAACGCCTGAGTGGGACTGAAGGAGATAAGATATGTTCTGAGACTGGAGCATTCCACGGCGAATTACATATTTTGGGTTTCTTTAATTTCCATATCATTGTCTTACTATACCTCCTCTTTCTGTAATGAATTTTTTTATTCTGCTGTCAAATTTCCTCTGACTATGTTGTATGTACTGCATTTCCTTAAGGAGTAGCATCAATGAACGACCGGTTTGTTTTCGCCTTTGTTCCATGACCTGGGATCACTCGCCCTAGAGATTAATTATAAATCCCATTGCCGATCACGTGTTAACATTGCGGGGATGATGATTTCCAATCAAAAAAACTACATGTAGGTACCATCAGCCCCTCCATATTTAATCGCTTCTTTTTACGTTCCCAAGTATCGATACTCAACAATCTCAACGATGCCTGCCTCAATTTTCCCTTCATACCCCCCTTCAATATCATTTGAGCAATCTTCCTACTTGCTTAAGTCTTTTATAGATTGGTCGCTGTTCAATGGTCTTAGCGTCCGTCCACTTCAAGCGGAAAATCAAAACGGAGCTCTAGCAGTACATGCGCCAGTAACATTATTCCCGAGTCCCTTTCCGAGAGCATGTTTTGAGGAGGCAAAAGCAGTCCAAATATGGTTCAACGAGTTATATGCGAGAATTGCAGCGGACGAGGAGTGGTTATTGAAGATTGTGGACGAGTATGTGGTACCCTTTGCTCTTCTGATTGACTCTTACGGGGGATTTACATTGAAACTGAGTCGGAAAATTCGGCATTGGGAATGAAAAGTGACTGAGATGTTTCTTTTCTCCTGTTTGCAGATTGATCGAGGTGGACGATTTCATGGCCCGTTTATACAAAGTACATCTTGATGTCAAAAAAGAAGGCTTTATTCAGGATCTTTCCCTTGGCATATTCCGGTCAGATTACCTGATTCATGTGGACCCTTTGTCTCCAACCTCACCACCTATTATTCATCAGGTCGAATTCAACACCATCTCTGTGTCTTTTGGGGGTCTCGCGACTCGCGTTTCGGAACTCCATAGACACTTACTGCGAGTGGGTGCATATCCATCGGCGACGGCCAACTTATTAACGCAGAAGAATATACCACTGGATCCCTCGGCTAAGGAAATAGCCAATGGTCTGGCAGCAGCGCACAAGGCATATGGTCTTGGAGGATCGGGACGTAATACGGCAATATTATTCATCATTCAGGATGATGAAAGAAATATTTTTGATCAAAGGTTGATAGAATATAACCTCCTGGAAAATCACGACATTCAGTGCTATCGTATCACAATACAACAAGTCCCGGATCTCATCACTCTAGATCCTGTAACACGTGCGTTGATATATCATCCGCCACATGATGATGGAGTCCATATGGAGATATCTACGGCATATTTTCGCTCATGTTATGATCCAGAAGATTTCCACTCTGAGACTGATTGGGTATCTCGTACTACAATTGAGCGCTCAAAAGCTATTAAGTGCCCATCAGTCATCACCCAGTTAGCTGGAGCCAAAAAGGTGCAGCAAGTCCTCGCCATGGAAGGTACCGTTGAAAGGTTTCTTCCAGACACGTCGATCTCAACTCGGATTCAAAATACTTTCGCCGCCATATATCCACTCGATACTTCATCGGCTGGTCTAGCCGCTCGTGACCTGGCACTCAATAACCCGGAAAAGTATGTTCTGAAGCCGCAGCGGGAGGGGGGAGGGAACAATATCTACAGATCTAAGATACCCGACTTCCTAAAGTCAATTCCGGAGTCGCACTGGAGCAGTTATATACTCATGGAATTGATCGAACCGCCGAGTTTAGGTAATAGCATAGTCAGAAATGGAATTATTACAACTGGCGAGGTTATTTGCGAACTAGGCATCTTCGGGGCAGTACTTTGGAGAAACGGCAAAGGGATAGAAAGGGGCAAAGGGATAAAGGAGATTGTTGTGAATGAAGAGACTGGTTGGCTATTGAGGACGAAAGGAAGAGATAGTGAGGAAGGCGGGGTAGCAGCAGGATTTGGAAGTGTTGATGGCATCTTACTTGTTGATTGAAACACTGTGTTCATGAGTGATCACTCGGCTTTATCGTTAGCGAACAACTGCAGCTGTTAAGGTGTTTTTCTATGCGCACATGTATTCACCCAAACGGTTGAAATATTAGATGTTAGAAACATAAAATACGTGAAATTCATTATGTAAAGCTATCCATTAGAGAGCTTTCACGGCAGATATGCTTACTTGGCTAGAATAATCAGCCAACAACTCCCACTCTAATACCCTGTTTTTTTTAATTTTTTTTTTTCCGTTTCTGATCTACAGGCCCTTATCCCAACCCAGAAATGAAAACCAGAACCCCGAAAGACTTTTTGCATTGAAAGGTAGGATGTTTATGGATTGTTGAAAGGTAAAGGAAAAAGGAAAAGGCGCTTAGTCAAAAAGACCGAAACCCATGTCCTCGTCTGACTCCTCCTTCTCCTCCTCCTTCTCTTCAACCTTCTCCTCAGCAGCAGCAGCACCACCAGCGGCAGCGGCACCACCAGCAGCTGGCGCGGCAGCGGCACCACCACCGGATCCGACGTTCAGAAGCATGTCCTTAACATCCTTTCCCTCGAGAGCCTATTTCGTAAAGGAAAAATGGTCAGCAACCAATCTTTCCTTAACCCTTCCCCAATATCTAAACCGTTGGTTTCAGACCTTAGCGAACAATGAGGTCCAGATAGGCTCGACATCGGTGCAACCAGCAGCCTTGATAAGGGACTGCAACTTGTCGGCCTAAAAGTATATTAAAAAAGTGTTAGTTTGCGGTCGGCGGAAGGTCGCTGAGTAGTGTTTTGAAACTTTGTGATGACGTACGGTGATTTCAACACCATCATCGGCCAAGATGAGGGCGGCGTAGGAAACGGCAAGTTCGTTGTTAGACATCCCGATATCTGCTGGATTTGGAGTTAAAGCTGATTCGGGCTTTGAAATGTAGAGTCTGCCGGAATGTTTACTCACTTATTCGTTAGATGTTGATGAGAGGATGGGGCGTCTGTCGGCGTTTTCTGTCGTGAGATTATCGGAGGTGAGTATGTAGGTGTTGAGAAATTATGAGATGAATGTTCTTTCCCGTTCAGTGGCGGTGGGTTTGAGCCCTGTGTGGGCTAAAAAGCAGTCATGTAGTATTTATCACAGCCTGATATCTAATCTAATCAGATGAAACCTTACTAGCCACACGACGCCACCGTCCATCTTAAGGAGTACATACATGTACACAGTACATGTAACTCCTTGAGCTAATATTCATGTGGATAAGGGGACATGTTCTCATTATTTCATTATTTGCGTATTGAGACATAATATGTGCTAGTGCTGGCACGTAATTTTGTGTTATCAATATCATGTGTACTAGCGTCGCGAAGAATATTGGTCACGTGGAGACCAAAATGTCAGTCAGTTACTTTGCGTTGTATGTGAGATCCACGTGACTAATATTCTTCACATGGTAGGAGTATCAAGGGCCCGTTTGGATTCGCTTCAAACCATGATCTAGCCGTAGTTCGCAGGGGTCAAATGGAGTTTTGTTCCAAAATGTATTCTGGCGTTTTTCCCTCTGGATTGACAGTTGTGAGTGGCAGGATTAGAGCGTATTCACTAAGTGTCATTTTTGACAATTGACACTTCGAAATTGACGGTTGCAAAATGCAAAATTGACACTTCCCCTCTATCCATAGGGATATGGGATGCGCAAGCCGCAAAGTGGCACTTGTGGATGCCGCTTTGGAGAGTAGCAAAGCGCCAATTGTCAGAATTAACGGTTAGTAAATACGCAACTACAATACCCAAATCAGCGAACTCAACACCATGCCTGCTTAGTCCTGACATAAAACCCCAGGGCAAAGGGCTATCACAAGTGGTGATTCTGTTACATACAGAGCTGCAAGCCTTCGATGAAGCTTGTTGCCATCATCTAGCCGGGTGGCATGTGGGGTCGTCATCCGATAAGCGCGTATTTTTGAGAATGGCGGGTCACCATCTGTATGACCCCATGTCATCATCATATCCCTGCCTTGTGCAGCACATAGATTCCACTGACAGCTGCTGCTTTGGAGACCTATCGACACCTTTGACATCAAGTGTCTTATCGAATACTCAATCAAAATATGTTCACCACTCCGGAGGCAGTTGCCGAGAAGCTCATCAAGCTCCGAGACAGCTTGATAAAGCTCAAGCAGGATCGAACAACATACGTCAAGTCTAGTAGCGTGGTTCGCCTCTATGATGAATTGTGCGAGTATATCCGACAAGCACAAGAGTTTGAGAGTGAACTTTTAAATGGCCCGAGGGAAAGTGGGAGCAAGCGTGAGATAACTTCTCTGGAAATGCCATTTTGCTGCCAAGGACGTCTTGAATTTATTATACTAAATTATACGCATGCAACTTAGTTGGCGAGCTTGTGACCGACTGCTACGAGTTAATCTCACTGTTGTTCTTAACGGTCGGAAGAAACAACGAACCACCAGCAGTGTAAGTCAATAAGTGTTTAAAACGCTTAAAAATTTCATAATTCTAGACACAGAAAAGCTTGTAACACGTAGATACAGTGCAACCTTGATGATGATTTAAATAGGCTATCCTCACATCAAGGCTCCGTGGGTCTGTCAGGTTTTTCTCTCGAAAGTTGCACTGTATCATATGTTATGACTCGACTTAGTCTGATATGAAAACTACTCTAATAGAAGATCGACTGTGCTAACTGTTCTTAAGTTACGCTCCTAGCGTCATTATCAAGGTTTTTCTCTAAAAAAAAACTTTTCTTATATATTATACTAACATTAAAAAGCGACTTTTAGAGCACCTGAACGAGTCGGGCAATTTTTCTCGAAAGGATCTTGTCCCACTTCAGCGTACACTAATAAACATGCGCGAGAACATCGAACAAGGCCGACCCCTCTACAATTCCCTAATTATATCTATGCTTGAATCACAAGTTTGCGCTTCTGAAATATCCTTAAAGGAGTTGAAGAAAAGGTTGGAACCGATACCATCAGAACTGGAGAGTTTATTAGAGAGACTTGTGAGTCTGCGGAGGAGCATCAAGGCCTGCGAGTCCAAGAAGCAGGTAAGTTGTAACTTGAAAATTTTCGAGAAAGGTTTATATTGAGTTTCTCGCTAGTTTCAAGTTACAGAGGTCGAGGGATATCTATCTCAAATCAAAGAGATCGATGCGTCGAGAATAGATGGGAAGTTTGTGGCAGAGGATGGGAATATTCCGGAGACGGGACAAGATATCTTGGATACTTTGCTCAAACGTTGCTATATAGTAGCGGAAAACGCTCTGCAAAAGTGGGCAATAAATGCATCAATCATAAACTATCGCAACTTTACTGATACTTCTTAACTCTCTAGGCAAGGTGCAGTGGCACCTGGGTTGAAAACTACATATGAAGAATTATTTCAAGCAAAGAGTCAACTGGAAAAATTAGAACTGACGCAGGCTTGGTCATTGAGAGAAACAGATCTTTATGAGTTCCAAAAGCTTGTTTTAACTCTAGATCAGGAACGAGTGAATGGAAGATTTGTGGATAGTGAGGGAAACGCACCTGAAGAAGGTCAAGGTGTAAGATTTTTAAATCATTCAGAACCCTTAATTAAGCTTTAGACTAAGACTAACAAATCATTCCATACAGATATTATTATATATGGTTAGACGATGTTATGCACATATATACAGCCTGATAAATTCAAGTGAAGTAAGCAATATACTCTTAGTAAACATTCTCGGTTTCCATATCGCCGAATCTAAAACCACGTGCAGCCCGTCAGTGAAGCCCTGACGCCCGTCTTCAACCAACTCCAAACAGTACGCCGTTGTTTAAAAGAAGTGCAGAAATTCGGTATCAGCAACGCTAGAGACCTCTATCCATACAGCATGAAAGTACGTTATGTCTATTACCCGCCCATATTTTATAACATAACTGATGACTGATTGTAGCTGGCCTCTATTGATAATATGAGAGTCGATGGTAAATTCATGGTAGGGACAGATATCCCTGAGGGCCAAGGAAGGGTTAATTCCTTATTGGCAGAATGCTTCGAGATTTGCGAAGAACTACGAAATAGCGAGGACGGTGGGGTTGCAACTCCCTAAATCTATGTGGTACGTGCTGAAATCAGGTATCTGTTTTGTGTTTGATATAGAATAGGGTTTTTATTCGGCATTTTTCATGCTTTATCTGAGAAGCGTCATGGCCCGTTTAAATATCTATACAATATATTCTTATCTCATTTTTCCCAGAAATAAAACACCAGATTGTATTTTGGATAGCGTCTTGAAATGGTTAATTTTATTAGATTTAGAACTACTGAGGCTATGTATACTATGTGATCATGGATGGTATGAAAAAATGGAAGAGTATTCCATAGTGATGGTAGAGGCCTACCCCGGTCTAGGGTCGACTGCATGTACACTATGTCGTACCTATATACTGGGACAACTTCCCCAGTGCCGGGGATTCCACGAAAGCGGGGGGGGGGTCGTTTTATCATACCCTGGGAATTTGCACCGATAGGGCCGTTTCAATTCAACTTGGACACTAGAGCAGGTCAAGATCGAGGAACAATGCGAAAAAATTAGTTTCCGGGGATAGAAAGCTATAGGAACTATATTTAAGCCGTGTAAAGGTACGGGGCTGACAGAAAGTAGATGGATGTAGGTACTCCTTAGACAAAGTACCCACATGAGTAGTATGATCTCTAGTTAAAGGTACCACCCAAGAGTCAAGAGCTTATGCCCTGTGAGAGCTACATTTGTTGGACGTCTTACGCTATGTCTTAAAAGCACAGGATCTTGGTTCTTGTCTCTGCCGAATCCCTATTATACGCAATTGTTGTTTTTACTTTTGAATTGAGAGCTTCGGAAGATAGGAAACCAAATTCTTTTAACTCTGACCTTTGCTTTATGTACTAGATGTGGGTACAGTACCGTGGCTCCCTGTCAGCCGCATTTGTTGATGCACAGATGGTGTATGAACTCCCTCGTAGTGTTCCCAACTAGCCCATGCGTCTGACTCTTCTCTGTGCGAGCTGCGGCAAGCCGGGAGTTTAAGTCCTCATTAGCGGGGGCCTGTGGAACTTGCCGCAACAGAGTATGTTGTTTGGGAGCATAATTTTATGAACTTTGCCCTCAACAATGGGTTTTATCTTGAGAAAGCCTTCCGGAATCGTAGCTAGACATGGGTACATAAGTACATATACATAATCAAGTACTCGGGGCAGGCGATAAGAACCTGAAAATGCAAGCTGCAAGCAGGGGCTCAATTTGGTGTAGCTTTTCTCCAGCCGCGAATCAAAGGTCGTTACCATAAAAAGTCATTTTCGGGTTCTTCTTGCCTGCCCCGAGTACATACCGTAGATCGAGGCCCTCATGTATCTACATGATGCATACATGTGTGTACCAATACATAGAGTACAGTACTTTACCTACAGTAGAGTAGAGTACATGTAGGTACTTGTACATGTACTTCATGTACCTACATTACTCTACTAAAGGTACATCATATACATACTTCATGTATGATGTACAGAGAGTACTCTAGGTACAGTGGGTGGATTTCCGAGCGAGGTCTTCCCTCACTCTAGGAGGACAAAGCGATTCAGGGGTTGGTGTTTGGGTTTTCCGTTTGCGAACTGGAGTGGTAAGGTTTCAGCTTCAAGGCGGCGGGAAAGAGCAGTACGTATGTCCCCAGCCACGCACGCAGAAAGGACCAGACCCAGGTGAACGCGGAAATAATGAAATAATGAAGAAGGGATATATGAACTGGCGGAAAGACGGCAGGCAAAGAGACACTGAAAACATAGCAGGATAATAATTCAATAATGGGTGTGTGGAGCGCAACGATTACTTTACAGGGAGGATTGGCGATTACAGTACCACAGATCCATATCTACATGTATGTACGTAGATATGCAAATGACAGGAATACAAATGTTTTCCTCGGGGATAGGACCAGACCAACTGACTCTCTGACTGGGCTGTTGCCCCGGATGCACGCAAAGGTAAAGAGATATTACCTACAGTGCAATTATGACAAACTGTCTCTTGCGCCGGCGCACGTTCATTTTCCACGTATGGATGGATGGGAGAGAACACAGGCAGCAGCAGTAGCATCAGTAGAGTAGCAGCAGCACTGGCAGGCAGGCAGGCAGGCAGGCAGGCAAGCAAGCCCCGTTCGTTCAGCTGTGGCCAAGACTCAGCCTGTGTGTCCAGCCAGTATGTAGCCAACCAGCCAGCCCTCCGTTCCATCCCCTTCTCTCTTCACAACAACCCTCCTGGGCCAACTCCACTACCTAACACCACCACCACTGAGCCATCAACTGCCCTTCGCGCTTCCTCTCTCTTCATCCTCTGTCTTCTCTCCACCACACCCTGTGCATCCTTTACCGTTGCCTCTCTCGCTATCTCTCTCTTGCTCTCTACGTAGTCTCCTACCACGCTACTGCCTGCTCTTCTCCCTTTTTTAATACCAAACTACCACCGTTGTAATCCTCTTTTACCCTCTTCATCGACAAACACACATCTACCACTGTTCCTCCCCCCCCCTTAGCAAAATAAACAACCTTCGGTGAGTAATGATCTTTATACATGTGCCTAGACTCTTCCCTGTATATCATGCTCCTCCCTTATTCAGAATGAGCGAGTAGGACAAAGTAGATGGCAAAGAGCTTGTAAACATCCTACTACTTCTCTTGTTATCTATGATGTTACACCGTTGTTGATACTTCGTTTGCATCTATCGGTCGCTTGCTATCCTTTAGTCCTCTAATCATTCATCTTGTGCTTTACAGAAATGGCCGAAATTAGACGCAAGTTGGTTATCGTCGGTGACGGTGCCTGTGGAAAGACCTGTTTGTTGATGTAAGCCTCTCGCTATCTCTCGCGAGCTTTAAAATGTATTTTAAACCATGACCTTGCTAACCAAAATGCGCAGTGTGTTCTCCAAGGGAACTTTCCCTGAGGTATGCATGCTCAGCTACTTATAGTAACTACCCTCAACTGGGTTTTTTATAGTACTGACCCAATTTGGCGTAGGTGTATGTTCCCACTGTTTTCGAGAACTATGTCGCCGATGTAGAGGTCGATGGAAAGCATGTAGAACTCGCTCTTTGGGATACTGCCGGCCAGGAGGATTATGATCGTCTTCGCCCTCTCTCGTACCCCGACTCTCACGTTATTCTGATCTGTTTCGCGATCGACTCACCCGACTCGCTCGACAACGTTCAAGAGAAGGTACATCTTGCCACTTTCCTCGTTACAACGCTCATTACGGAGTGGCAAATTGGTTTCTAACGTCAGGATTACTTCAACAGTGGATTTCTGAGGTCCTTCACTTTTGTCAAGGTCTCCCAATCATTCTCGTTGGATGCAAAAAGGATCTCCGACACGATCAGAAGACCGTCCAGGAGCTCTCCAAGACCTCCCAGAAGCCAGTAACCGAAGCTGAGGTAGGTTCTTACTATTCTCCCACATGAACTCGCAACTAACTTGTTTAAACAGGGTGATGCTGTCAAGAAGGTCATCCACGCAGACCGTTACCTTGAGTGCTCGGCCAAGACCAACGAGGGTGTCCGCGAAGTTTTCGAGCACGCAACCCGTTGTGCCCTACTACAGAAAAAGCCAAAGCATCGCAAGACATGCAGCATCTTGTAAGTTGGTAAAGTCTTTAGAGTAGGGTCGGTTGTCTCTGGTTTGGCGACGGTGTTTTTAAATCAACAGTGGCGTGCTTTTTTCCCTTCCGTTTGCGAAATTCCCACCATGGTGCAGTAAAAGGCACATATTTAGTGTACTGTTCAAGCGTCTTTTGAAGCGGGAGATTGAAGCATCAGTTGAGTTAAAGCCGGGAAAGCAATTACGGATATTGTGGGATGAGGACAGCAAAGTAAGGGAGGAATGGAAACAATTGTTGGGACATGTACTTTTCTTTTCTCTATTTCTACTGTTTCTCATCTCTTTTGAAGTGGTGCGGTTTTTCTTGTGTTGTTGGTTCCTTATTATCCCCATTTGAGTTGTCCTGGTTTGGTATTGTCTTTTTACAATCTGTTTTTTGTTTTCTCTTCTACCCTCTGCCGATAGGACGGGGGATAATCGTCAAACACAGGTGTGCTTTTTTAAAAACTCACTCCCTGACGTACGACCCATCTAGCAACACCCTCTCTTTGTGACAATCGTGAAGTTCCCACGCACCACATGTTCCAGGCTATTCGGCTACAGCGAGGCTAAGAGCAATTCAAGGACCGATTGGTGAATAAAGGAATATCGCGTATCAACGGTAAGATCAGTCTCGGCCAGTACCCAGTGATCCAAATGTCCATTCGTAACAAGCCGGGTGCTTTCTTATCTCTGGTAACTACATCTCTACATGTAGAGATTACACATGACGCAAGCAAAGATAAAGCCGTTATACACATTTCGCCACTAGGGCTTCTAACCATCAACATCCATTATGTCTGCATTCATCGAATTTCCGGCACGTCGTTCTTTTATCCAAGCTTCTATCTGCTCCTTGAGCTCCGTATCTAAGATACTGGTCAGCGTGACAGGACACGGGCGGCCCATAGAAAGAATCCATGCTTACTAGGAATGACATCTTCGATTTTCAAGGGCTCTCTATTAAATGGATCTTTCGGATCGCTGAGCAAATGAACTTTGATGGTTTGTCGATCAATCGAAACCTTGGAAGACGGTAAGATCACGGGATCTTCCATCAAGGTAGCCATCAGTGGATCTATAACGGCGGTTAGAACCCCGGACTTAAAGCGAGCAATGTGACGAGAGGCCTACCCAAAAAGTCATCCGGAATTTCTCCAAGCTCTTCCTCACCTTCTTCTTCACGCCGTTTGGTTTCCTCAACCATCGCGGCTAATTTAGCCAACGCTGCAATATCGGGGGTCCCCTTTAAACTGTTCTTTTCTAAAACAGCCTGTAATTTTTGAAAAAGTTCAGGCTTGTATGAACGACCATCTCTTGCAACAGCTTCCACAAATTGTGTGAAGTGCCTAAGATTTAGATAGACGTCTGTGATCTCTGACAACAAGGCTTTGGGATTGAACCGGTATTTCTCGGGGCTACGAACTCTAAGAGAGTTGCATTTAGGTCCGACTAGAGCCTCAAGGTTATAATCCAACATGCCAGCCAATCGATTAACAATTTCTGGCATGATGAAAGCATTGGGAATCGCGGACGTGAAGAGCTTTAGCATCGTGACCGTTTCATTGCCTAATGACATGTACGAAGTTGCATCTCGCTCAGATTTCGCCAACGCCTTCTCTTTTTCGGCCTTTTCTTGAGGGCTCAGGGAAGCAGCCGCATCGCTTTCGAGCTCATGCTGTAATTTATTGATTTCAGCTAGTGCAGTGAGTGAGTTGTCTAGCACGTAGGTTACGTCGTTGAGAAGAAGAGCCACAAAACGGATGAAAAAATCAACGTTCAACCTTAATGAATACGTTAATTCCGTATATCCCTTAGACAAGAGACAAAAAACATACTTGCTCTCCTGATCCAGTTTTTCTCTATATGCAGGGTTTGGCCATATTGATTTGATAATCTCAGAAATGTGATAACGGACTGTAAACTTCTCGTAATACTGCCTCTCGATTTCTGCGATTATTTAGTATGAAGCCTTGGATAAAGAAAAGACTAGCCTACCAATATAAAAGTTCATGAGAGCATTCAGAAGGTGTTGTAAAACGAACTTGTGACCATTTATGACATCGCCCAACATACCAGCTGTTTTACCACGGTAAGGGGAAATTCCATAATAGAGTATCTCGACCAGTTTCGATTTAAGGTTAGGCTTTTTTATATAGGTTGATGTACGTAGAAAAGTTGTGCAGAAGATGACGAGTTCATCTACTTGGGTCGTCACTATACACTCTGGCAGATATCTCCCTACGAATCCAAAACAAAGTCCGATATCTTCAATGAAATACTCCGGCAGAGCACTAAACTCAGGAGGTGCTTCCGCAGGCAGAGGTAGACTATTGCTTGTTAGCTTGTATTGTACAGTCGGGATACCAAAGTCAATCACCTCATCATTTTTTGTGGGTATCTATGTCCAGGAGAAACCAGTCTTAGGAGCCAGGTCGTAAGGTATCGCATGAACAAAAGCGATCTTGTTTGTGACAAGCCGTCAAAAAGGAATACTTCGAGTGCAAATTTATACGCAATTCCTTCGTCTATACGCTGTCTCAATTTTTCTATGTTTCTATCCCAAATACCTATCTGTGGTGTCTATAATTTCGATTAGTAATAAGTTCATATTTGGGTGAGCCAAACCCCCTTACGTTAACCCAGCGTGATCTCTCGCCTTGGATTCTTTCCAAGTGTTTCTCCATATCTCCAATGTCTTTTGCCAATTGATCGTGATTAACCTCGGTGGCACCAAGTCCGTAGTGGTGGGCTGCAACATTTAGGAAGAAGACTTCAGATATGAAATTATTTGATCCTTCAATCTTTTTGGAATAGAATTCAGATGCGGTATCTTCATCTGCATTGATTTTTGTCTCATCGCCGATGTCCAGTCTTGGATTACGCTTGAAATAGTCGATGTCGATTTTGTCAAGCTGTAACGGGTTAGACATTATAATGCGAATTATATTGTAAAACAGACCTTCGAAAAAGATGCGTCCATAAAAGGCTCGCATAACTTGTTCAACACTGCTGTTATATTGAGCATAAAACCATCGGAGGCTACTGTAGCTTGATCCACCTTCACCAGAAAGATTAGGATATAGATATACTACATGTAGGTCCCCTGGAATATCTTTACCTGGATAGCGCCACGTTTCTTATTCAAATTGATTGCTAACGCAAAGAAGTCGAGCACCTTGACCCTCGCTTCAGGCGATGCCCGAATTATCAACATGGTAATCTGATGTAGTTGATCCTTAAAAGTGTCAGCTAGTGACCGGAATCTTGTATATTGGAATTTACCTGTATTGTTTGGAGCGATAACCGAAGAGCTCTGGTTGCATCATTTAAAGCAGTTTGGCTCTTGGTCTTTGCGCCAGTAAAATATGTGCGACATACTTGTGACTATTTTAATGATCAATTAAGCCGTGCGCTATATGCTATATAGCTTAGAGGTAGTAAATACCTGAAGGGGCGAAAGTTGAAAAAAAGGGCCTAAGATGGTTTCCTTTTCTACAAGATGTGCCGGAGTCTGTTCAGGAGAGGGGAGAAATGAAGGCAGTTTAATCATAAGTTCCACAAGTGGCTTGAACTGAGCAAGTCGTCCTAAAGCCGATATGAATGGTTTATAGTTATCGCTCATGTTCATCTTACTTAGTCGACTGCTGAGATTTTGTATTGCTTGCTGGAAATACTCCACAAGATCCGGGTTGTCTTCGGATCGAGACACTAGATCATTCAAAAATTCTTGAGGCAAACCGAGATCATCTTCTGCATCGCTCAATAAACGATTTTCTAGTTTGGCTAATGCACGATCGTTCCTGAAATGATATTAGAATGGCCGGGGTATCGCTGCTTTATATGGATACAACTTACTCAAAAATGTCTGGCATAGTGATACAGTATTCCCCATAGTTGATACAAAGTCTCTTAGCGGTATTTAGAATATTGATTTTTCTCTCGTCTAGTCTAGACGGAGGTGTAGTCCTCTGTATAACAGAGGCTCGTCTCCAGCAACCAACCAAGTAGTCCATAGGGGTAACACCAGAGTCTTTGCATACTGAAAGTATCAATTGGTCCAATGTACCCACGGAAATATGCGCCGCTAGAAAAGTCATTACGGATTCATGAGCCTATGTGATGGGGTCAGACGTACGCTTTCCTTCAACTGCTTGCTCCTCCAAATCTTTCCGTAAGTCATCCAAGATGTAATATCCTGTAACCCGTGGCCCAGGCTAAATTCGATTTAGCAATACTCGGAGGTAATCTAGCCCTCATAAAGATTACTAAGAGCACCAACCTCTAGAGCCACCTTATATATATGCTTTAAAGTCTTGTCCTCCCATAACTCTATAGGACCGAGACTACCCACAGAAGTCGACGATGGCACTAGGGCTTCTGACGGCGGTATAGACTGTGTTGGTTTTATGGGAGAACGAATATCTGGGGGCGGTGATGTAGCTGTCCTTTTTGGCGTTGCACTTGACGACTGGTTCAACCCCAGCTTGGTGAACGGGTTTGGCGCAGTATCACTTTGAGGCCCGGATATCGAGGGTTGAAGGTCCTTTGTAGGGGAGAAACTGCTTTCACCATCCTCAGCTTGAGATTTTGGCTGCGATGGAGCCTGAAGTCTTGCTAGTCGCTTGTTACGAATCTATAATGTGTTAAATCGTTCTTTGAGACATGCTGAAGAACATAAAGCTTTCTGTAGGAGCAACTTTACTCACTTTGTCGGCCTCAGATTCGGAATTTGAAGACATGACTATCCGCTAGATCCCGAAAGGTAACTAAAGAGAAAGGATCGTTGATCGAGCAGATAACGTTGATGTTATGGGGTGAAGCAAAGGATGTAGTTATGTTGCTACGTGACGAGCAACATGGGGTTATGGATGTGTGCGGCTGCTTTGACGTCGGTGGTGAAGCGTCCGCTGAGCAACCATGCGCAATATGCAATGCAACCACTTATCTTCCACAAGCTTCTCTGTGCATGTGAAAATCCATGAAGATAGCAATATGATGTATCGTTTGAGATTGCAAAAAGGTATATGGAAAGTTTCCTTATAATGCAAGATTTACGAGTACATGTTACTACATGATACTGGTGTTTATAGGTATCGAGTTTCTTTGCTTTTGGGTAGCATAAATTATAAAAGAACGTTGGGACTTTTGTATTTAAACTCTATAGTCATTCCTGTGGTCATAGCGAAGTTTGTTTGATGGCGGATATATGTACAGCCGCATTCGAAAAGTATTGGCACCCTACTATATTGAGTCGTTCATGAATTGTAGCCCACCAACAACCATGGCACTTGCGCATACTCATCTTATTGACGGGTATGACCGCAATAGAGACATTGCAGCTCTCTCTGACAACGGTCTCGAATATGGGAATTGCAAAGCAGAAAGGACTACCTCGTTAGTTTGGCCCGAAGGTGCCAAAACATTTCGAATGCGGCTGTACAGCAAAAACACATAGGCCCTGTTCCCTAGATGGTTGACGCCCATTGGTAGGTCAAAAGTCTCGCCACGAACCCATAAACAACTGTATAATGTTTATTGGAATTGGATAGTGTGATATAGGCCGGCACCGGGTACCTCTAGATTTCCCTTCGATACCTTAAAAAGACACATAGTTGATTTGAACTCTCGAGTTGGTTAAGTGGTTTTTCTAGCTCAATAATTAAACTAAGTGATTTTATCTTTGAACATTTTTTTTTTAAAAAAAAAAAGAAAGGCGAGACCAAATCCCAAACTGCAGCGAGCAATAGAGCACAAAAGGATACTCCGACTAATTATCCTCCATTGGAAAAAGAAATATTCTCCGTGGGAAAAGTCATGCAAGAAGGTTTTGGATAAATTTAAATACAAAGAAAAGAACATTTTTCTAACAGGATTCCAGCCCTCAATTATATCCACTTGACGGGAGAAATCGCACAGCTACATATCAAACATTTAGGCAGATGCGGAGGCTGAAGGAGTGACGAACACGGTAGTGTAGACACTCATTGTGGTGGTGCTGGTACTATCGTATGAAACGGTGCTCATGGTGTTGTTGGAGTAGGGAGGGACGATAGGCGAATGGACAATACTCGGGGCAGCAGCAGCAGAGACAGTCTATAGAATAAATTAAACAAAGGTAGAAGAGTTACGGACTGGAATGCTCACAATTGTGCTGTACAAAGTGACATACTGCGGGACATAAACAGTCTCCGCCGAGCAGGCAGCGGCAGGGGTGACGGCAGCGGCAGCTACGGAGGCGTCTTCGACAGTGACGGTTGATGCGGTGTTAGGAACTGTGACAACCAAAGTAGTAGTACTTGTAGACTTAGACTTGGCTGAGGAAGCAGCTTGAGCAGCAGCAACTGAAAGTGCAGATGCCTCCGAGCTGGCAGCAGCAGAAACTACAGGTTCAACTGAGCTGGCAGAAGCAACCGCAACAGGAGTAGTTTCAATAATAGGAGCAACGGTGACGGTGCTCTTTACGTGCGCAATAGTCTGAGTAGTTTCTTCCGCCTATGATTTATTAGAACTACATGTAGTCAATGATCAATGTTTTGTAGATTGATGTCTTACCTTTGTAATGGTAGTAGTCTTGATGCGACCATCACCCAAGGTGTAAGTAACAGTTACAAGCTTGGTATTTGTCTGAGTAACAGTGACAGTGTACAGCGAAGTAGAAGCTGCAGCGGTGCCAGTTCCATAGGCAATTGAGGTCTCAGTCCCATTGTAGTTTTGCCTGGCTGCAAGATGGCCACGGCGGTGCAGGTGGTTGTGCCCATGAGCACTGCAAGCAGAAATCAGGGCGGTGAGACAAATGATGAGGTTATTGAAAGAAACCATTTTTTATTTCTATGATTGTTTGATGTCCGTAGGGGCCAGAAATGACAATCTTTATTCTTTGAGAAGCACTGAAAACGATGCAATCAATGCGCAGACTTTCTGGATGTTAAACCGGAAAACGAAAGATTGATATTGGTGGCTTGCGGAGACTTGGATTTGAAAGAGTGACAAAGGCCCGAAAGAATTGAAGCCGAAAGAAAAAACGGTAATGAACGTGGGCAAAAACTTTGCGTTTTCAGAGGTTTGTGGGTAAAAAAAGAAGAGAGAGGAGGTTTTGGGAAGGGGGGGGGGGGGGGGCGAGAATAAAAAGGAAAAGGAGGGCGAAAATGTGCTGATAGGAAGTTCGGGCAGGAGCATCACGCAGAAATCAGTCGCAAATTAGCTCTTCACCCTGGGGGGCTCAGAAGTAGGGGTTTGCCGCCAGCGACTGGGATATTGAAGTTGCCCCAACATTAGGGAGGGTACATTGCTTGTACAATTATCTAGGCAAATCTTGCTATATCCCAATTTAGTATGAATTAGCTACTTGCCCAACTTAGGCTATTCGGTATCTGGGAAGTGGGGGACTGATATGTGAAAGTGTTAGGGATCTAAGATGAAGGGAAGTAAATTTTCGCGATAAACATGAAACCCCTAAAGGTTCCAGGGGATAACTTCGTCCACTTTAGTACAACCTGCATTGGTAACCTAATCAAACGAGCAAATCAGAATTCATAGTAGATGAATGCACTGATGTCAGTTGGTTCCCCGGACGTAGATTTGGCTAGCCTTCGTAGAGTATCCCCAATATCGTCATTTGTCAATGTCCCCCCCCAAACCACAGTAGTACCTACATGTAGTCGTTCTTGACTCTTGAGGAGGTTGTTATTAACAGCAAATCGGCTTCTTAGCGCTTGCAACCTTTGTGCATCTTAAAGTCTCGCCTTGGCAAATTTCCCCTATCCGAAATTACTAATCTAATAATCAAAATCACTGATCCTCGAAGCAGCCCCCGACCTAGGAAATAATTCTAATCTGGCTTTGGGTTCTTAAGAGTCCACGCTCCTCAACTTCATTCCAGTAAAATGATCAATGTGCGGCACAGCAGATCTCACCAGTAGCTACATGTACAGTCGCAACTCGATAATATGCCGGAATTCAATACCCCGGATCCATTGCTGTCCCGTACGAAATCCTCTGGGATTTTAATTTTCTTACTGCAAAATCAATTTGCTATCCCGGATTTCTCGTAAATATTTGTTATCACGTATGAAATTCCGATTCTTGGCATCCGGCATAGCGAGGTGCGATTGTAAGTATGAGTACATGTAGGTACTGTAGATGTATGTACCTAATGCGAGATACTAGCTCCCCTCTACCTATCAGAACGGGTAAGGGCCTAGTGTAACTGCTGATTCCATGCAGCTAGGGTCAGGGCTATTATATATGTATACGCGAGTCGCACAAATCCATGTCCACATGTACTGTAATCTACATATATGTACCCAGGGAAACTTCACTGGGATATACATACAGTATCAGAAATGGGGGTAAAACTGATACCGCATCAGTACGGCATTGTGAGAATATGCCGCTTTATCTCTGTATTTTGACGAAGTAAACGGCAGTAGTACGGCATTACCAAAGACTGCGGGAGTCATTTTATCCATATTTCTGTCACTGTATGTACGGATCGATACCTACATGTAGCTTGGATAAAGAACGAATACTCACTATCGTTGAAAGAAGTCATTACATGTATGTTAAATATATTGGTGAGCTAGATCGTTGAGATCTGAGCCGGGTAACGAGACATCTTTGTTTTATGCTTACTGCACTTAAGTTAACGTTAAGATTTATGTACAATACCAAAAATGGGGCAGGGATTAGTATGGTAGTGCTACGGTAGTCTTGCTACAATGCGGTATTTTCGGGACTGCTGCATCATTTCGGCATTTCAAGGAGTATATTTTTCATAGAATGCCGTAGCAATACCATAGCAATACCGTAGCACTACCACAGCAATATAGACACATTTTAGCGTTGTGACCAGCACCAGGTCCAGCGCGCCAGCACCATGTCCAGTGTGCCAGCACCATGTCCAGTGTGCCAGCACCAGGTCTAGCGTGCCAGTACGCCAGGTCCATGACCAGGACCACACCTACATGTAGGCTCGTCGACACTATGTTACAAGACTAGACCACACCTATACGACTTCATCATCATCATCATCACCAACATGAGCGTATCATAATCGAATAGTAGACGCAACTTCTAATTAAAATGATGTGTATATGTATGCCTAAGAGCCCAAAATTTATTTTTCAAAAGTATATCCCAATTGTTTAAACCCCATCCTAGGATGATAAGAATTGATGGATCGATGGATGAAACAATATCTGGTGATCTTTGATTCTGAAATGCTTCATCACCAAATATGATATTCCAGGGTTAGGGGAATGGTATTGTCCTAAATACCACAAGAATGCCGTATTTTAGGAAATGCGGAAGTACTAGGGCAGTATAAATATACCACCCACACTGCGGAATCCAGGGAATATATAGATTATATAATACAGTATTGATACGGCATTGATAGAGCATTTGCTGCAAGGCGGCTTTACTCGCTCGACAACCGGAGTGCTACCCGATTTTATGGGATGGCGTAGTACTACCGTACTAACCCCCACCCGTTTTTTGGTACTGTACTTACATGCATATATGTAGTAACATACTGTAGCGACCAGTCAGGTGTCATTTAGATATATTAATTCCTGTTTTTCTCGCTATAAACAATATTTCACATTATCGATACCTCATTCATCCTCAGCCACTTAAACAGATCAGTGTACGAACATGTGTCTTGAAATATGTCTATATATAGCTATATATATCTCGAATGTTGTAGAGTACTAACTAAATTTGTAGACCGCAAAATCTTAGGAATAACGAATCGAACTGGACTGGGAATACTGGGCTTCAGATTGGTCAAATGCGTGTTGAGCCTCAATCCGACAGACCCAAAGCGTAACTTTTGGTTGCATAAACAGCATCAACAACGGGTTGCTTATTAACAAAATTTATATATCTCAACGAGACGAAAATTTCCGGTCACATATGGCATATATATGCATACAGCGCCTCGTCTGTTTTATATGTAATCAAATCAATTAGGTGGTGCAAACAATGCACATATAACGTATGTACATATAACATGTACCTAATATTATATCATGTATATAAGTACGCACATTACCTATATATAACTAGGCCTAGCTATATAGTCTTTAATTGATCGTACTAAAACGGAGCACAATCCCATAAAGGGGGGGCGATATATAAAGTATCAGAGATGGGGGTAAATTATAAAACTGATACCGCATCAGTACGGCATTGTGAGAATATATATTCCGCTTTATCTTCCTATTTTGACGAAGTATATGCGTACGGTAGTGTCAATTACCACAGTGGTATGGCATTGCCAAAGAGTGCGGTAGTCATTTTAATTATCCATGTTTCTGTCACTGTATATATATGTATATATATGTATGTGCTAACGTCGTATGTATATATACATGTACTTACATGTACAGCCACTCAGCAAAAGTGTTCGTGATTTAGTTTTAATGTCAGTGCGTAGTGTGGCGCACCCGTGACGTTGATGTTATTAATGGAGAGATTCAAAACAACGAAAAATATATAATATAGTTTGTGACTATATATAAGAGAAGATAGGTCATTGATCTTATTTTTCATTGATTCCGGGCTCCATTGCTCACTGGGAACGTTTTCCCTTGGGGCTCTTAATGGTCCGCCACGGTTACATATAGAGAAATGTCTCACTCCGAAATCGGAATCACGAACACTTTTGCAGAGTGGCTGTACATATGCATTAATCATATGCGTATGGCACAAACATAATTATATTAATATCTACCCCCTTAATGATCAATTATACAAGGTATGAGACAGACAGAATTCATGATCAGACTGAGCTACTACATGTACTATATACGTATATAGATGAGACTGAATGTTTATAATTCTTCCTTCGCAGGGTGTTTATACCTATTGAATCCATGGAAGATACTACACGTATATATAGATTTCGTGCCAAATTAAAGTCGTTGATTCTAGATTCCTTGGTGTTATATCATATCATCGATATCAATACATGTATGCCCCACATGCGCAGATCAATGAGTTTGAGTTAATCAATCGATCAACCAACCGATGAATTATCACATATATACAGACGTGGACACCCTTGAGAAGCGTCCATGACACCGAGATGAGAAGGTACATGTAAATTAAGAGCAGTATATCGATTTGAATATCCATGATTCTCACGATCATAAACAGATCTAGAGATAAATGAACGAGTGAACAGACGAAATGAGAAAAAGCACAAAAGACTTATGTGATATACCTGCAGCTGCATGTATCAACCTATAAGATCTAGAAAGCTACCATAATCTTGAATCTTCTGGATCTCTCTCAGCCATTTCTGGAAATTGTGATGTCAAATTTTGGGCCAGCAATTGCAACCAAAATACACAGGAAACCGCACAGCTAATACAATTATCGACAATACATATATATGTTCGGCTCCCAATCTTGATGTGTAGCACCTTGGGTTAGGATAATTATATAAACCATGTGCACGCGCGGTGCAAGGACTGTACTATTGGGGATATCTACATGTAGTCTCGTTCCCAGACCCATGAGTTCTTTTCTAGTAGTAGTTGATAAACAGTGGGGGGCGGTTTTTTGTCCTAATACGTAGTTATATATACACAATTAATCAATCAATCAATGTAGTTATATATAATTAGGTGGTTATATCTATCGAGTGATATTTGATGACCGCACCGACTAGATTGAAGTACTGAGAGTACCTAAGTATAAACGAGCTACACGAGACTAGACTACATATATGTATACATGTATATATATACATACCCACAACGGGTGAGATTCTTCGAATCCCCCCATGCATGCGGAACGACTAGTGTCATAAA